AATAAATGTAAATAATGCATGTGTGTACACACACAGTAAATTTACAAAATGTCTCAGGGACCTATTGTCCACCATTGAATTAAGAAGAGTAGATTACTAAATTATCCCAGATTACAATTATATTTATACATAAGTGTGCATTTATAAAAACCTTACAAATAATACTGTTTTTAAAGGAAGACAATATAGGCAACATTTTAACACGTGGTAAGAAAACATTAAATTTTAAAAAGAACACAGGTACACTAAACAATTCAATGTGGCTGGTTACTGTGAATAAATAAGTTTATAAAGACTGCTATACTTCATATTTTTAACAACAGCATGTTTAAAATTGTTTTATTCTAACAATTTGTATTAGTTTTTGTCTTGATGTAAAGAAAGTAAAACATCCTAAAATACGATCTTCTAGGAAGTCATATATACTAGTCAGTGTTTTATATTAAGGAAAAGGTGTTACTAATTTAAAGTACATTTGTTTTTAATGTATGTTAACTGAATTACTGTTTTCTAACATACCGATGGTGATTTACATCTGGCTGAGCAATTTAAACCAGGACATAATGAAAATTTAAGTTGATAAGATGTAGTATCATGAGGACCCAAGTTTCACTTTTTAGCAATATACTGAGTCAAGCCATGGATGTAAAAGAGAAAGTAGGATTCTATCTTTCCTTTTTTATTTTGGCTAGGATTACTCATACTCACCTTTGTGTTTTAATTGTATAGCTCATTTAAGAATGCTTACTATTTCTATGAGCATAGCATAACATTTCAATGACTGAAATACTTAAAAGAAGTCAAATTTTATTTTAAGGATAGTAAATGTGGAAAGGAGATGAAACAAACTAATTCTATACATAATTTTTAGTCCCAGTTAAAATTATAATTTTTATGTAGTACTTTCATTTCTAAAGATGTAGACAGCAAATATATTCATATTAAACTGCTTACAGAAAATGAATTTTTTCTACCTAGAAAGACCAATTATATTAACAGGGGGAACATAACAGAAAATTCTCCCTAGGAGACTTATTCAACTGAGAATTGCTCTTTGGAATATAATTCAGGGAAGTAATTGAAGAGGATCTAAGTTTTTTCCAGCTGCAGGTTATCTCTTTTCCAATGAGTTATATTTATGGATATAGTGGACATGTGTGATGAAATAATCTGTTCAATTTATTGTAAACAAATGTCTACATCAAAAGAGTATAACTATTGTTTAATTCCTGGCAATATCAGTGAAGTGACTGAGGAGTAAATGATGATTTCCGCTCTTACCTTTAGTTGCAGAGCCTTCATAAGCAGAGTTAATGTGGGCTAACCAAGGGGTATGTGAATTTATCTTCTATGTGTTGTATTATTCTTTCCATCCCAAATCACTTTATCAACTATTTCCCCATTGAAATAAAATGCAGAGAATATATTTGTTTACTAATTATGCTACTGCATAACATAGATCCCAGTAGGAGGGTTTTGTGAGCAAACTTTATAATTTCAACTTTCATAAAGATATGCACACATACAGATTCAGTGTGCAGAAGGGAAGTATATTAATAATGCCTCATTATTCTTTAGCTTTCCCAGTATTTATCAAGGCCTATGGTTCAGGAAACTCAGGGAACCTCTTCTTCAGGGCCAACATTAGGTTCCACTGTTTAAAGCAAACACCAATTCTTTTCCTCATAACAAACAAGAAACTGCTGCCAGGGCCATTTAGAAAAGAAAACCCACTTTTTGTTTGTTTGCTTGTTTGGAGGCTTACTCCAGGTTCTGCACTCAGGGATCACTCCTTGTGCATTTGGGGGACCATATGGGGTGCTAGGGATCAAACCCAGGTCAGCTGTGTGCAAGACAAGTGCCTTACCCATTATACGACTGCTCTGATTTACAGTCTGTTATTTCTTCTGAAGGATCTTGGGATTGGGAGGGAAGCATGGGCAAAGCCCTGGAAGAAGGACTATTCCAAGCATCGGAATATGAAGAACTGGGAAAACTCCAAAGGCAGCATTCTGAATGCTCTGCTGAGATTCCCAGAGAGATGTGGTAGAAAAGCAAGTGTGGACCCATGTCCAGCTTCCTCATGTCCCCAGATGATTTCCTTTTCATTTACTGTCTCTCATTGTAACAGGAAGAGTTTAGCAAATATCCTATGAAAAGCAATGTAGTTCAGATAATGTAGAGAATCCTAAAAATAGAAAGGAAGTTTTCTCTTTTATTCCCAGAGGGAAAGGAGCATCAGGGGGCAAATTTCCATGATTCAGGGAGCAGAAGTGATTTGTTTAAGTTTTAGCATGAAAGCAGCTAAAGCTCAGATTTCTAGTTATGCAACTCCTGTACATCAGCGTCCAAGTCTAAACTGGGACACTTGTAACAGAGCATGAAGATTCACCCATCAAATGTGTGGATCATTGTCAGATCAAGGTCATTCATTCCCTAGCCTTCACTGCTATAGACAACTTTGCTCGAAGAAAGGAAGCCAATTAAGAACACACAAATCGTAGCAAGGAATTAACAGGTATTTCTCCTATAGAGAGCTGGGCAGAATGTGAAGAAGAGTAAAGAAAATTCATGTTTCTACCAACTATCTTCACATTTCATAAAGGTCTGTTTTACACACTTGATGTAGGCAAGAACTTCTAATATCACAGTGAGGTGAAATGTGTAAAAATAACTCAGGAATAGAAGGATATTAAGCACAATAAAATTTATGAGTGGGTATGGAAGTCATGAGAGGGAAAAATTCAGGGATCTTTTGCTAAAGAAAAGAATGCAGTTTAAAAGAGTCAAAACCCAAATAAAAATGAAATGATGAAAGTATTTTAATTTATGAGAAAATTATTTGAGGTTAAAATTAGGTGTCCTTATTTTCTAGTTCCTGGAATATGACTTTTCCTAAAATTATATTTTCAATTATTTCAGAAATTATAAATTTGAAAGAAAGTTTTAACCTGGACTTTAAGGGACAAATATACTCATGATGAGCTGATTTCTAAACCTTGAAAAAAATCAAATTTGACTTTTTAACCAAATAGGTTATAAATGAAACCTATTATTATCATTCATATTCCACTACTACTTCCCACAAAAGAGCAAGTAAAATCACAGTCATGATTTCTTGTGGGAATAAGAACAATACCTTCTTACAAGACAAATCAATTCACAATCAGTAACAATGAAGAAAAGAGTGAACAAAACATCTGAAAATCATAGCATTATAAGGTTAAACTTAATCACAGGATGGTCAATGTTTGCACAATTATCATAAAAAAGGAAAGTCAAAATTAATCTTGGTAAATTCATGCCTGTTTTTTCATGCTGAAAGTAGTATTTTCAGACTACACAGGCTTGAGTTAAAAGACCTTTTAGCTTGACTTTTTGGTAAGAATTTGCAGCTCAAAACTTGAAACTATTCTCCAGTGTGCAGTCCTTGGTCCTCACACTCTAAGTGATTAATGCAGACTTGTTCGATTAGAGTTTAAAAATGAAACATAATTTAATTCTGCATACTTTGCTTTCCCATCAGCAGTTCTGACCAGCATTGCTGTCATGTGTGAGACAAAAAAAATCTTTATTTTCAGAAGGTACAAATCATTGTGGGTTTGAGAGAAAGAAGTATTTGGGATTAGGAATTCGCAAATATAGTGTCAAAATTTCACTTCAGAGATCATAAACCTACAGAAATATTCCTCTTACCTGAGATTAAAGCATAATTTTCAGGGCTTCTAGAGTTTGCCTATAGAACTGATGTTTGTTGGTGGTTAACTGTGCCACAATTTTAACACAAAGAGTCATCAAGTGATTTTAGGAGGCTAAAATGTAAATTTTCACACTTTCAAAATGTTTATCTTTTGGCTTTGTTTTTTGGGGTCACAGCTGGAGGGCTACTCCCAGTCTGTGTGTGTGGGTTCACTCTCAGCAGTGCTCTGGAGATGGGGATTGAACCCAGGCCTCCGACATGGGAATCAAGCCCTCAGCTAGTTCAGCTCTCTCTCCAATCCTATACCTATTATCATTTCAGTGTCTGTAAGTCTAATTAGAATTCCAAAGGAGTAACTTTTATAAGCAAAATTCTTTGTAAAAAATTCCTTGGGACGCAGAGAGATGGTACAGGGATTAAGGCGCTTGCCTTACATGTGGCCAACCTGGGTTCTGTCCTTAGCACTGCATATAGTCAGTCCCCAGGCAACACCGGGAGTGATCCCTGAGCATAGAGCCAGGAGTAAGCTCTGTGTTTCTCTGGGTATGGCCCTCGAACAATTTTTTTTTCTTAACATCTGCTTTTTTCTCAACAGTTAAATAATGTAAATTTAGGCTAATGAAGTTAGTGACCAGATGAAACAAAATTACGATAAATGATTTCCTTCTAAATAAAAGTCCTGTATCTTGGGAACACAGCAGGGGTGCTGAGAAGGAACCAGGGATCATGCTAGTAAGCAAGAAGCCTGGAGAGAAAAGCAGCACTCCAGTGAACCCCAGAATGGTAAACACTCTTTTAATGCCGTGTGCTCAAAGTCCCAATTAGCTGAGTGCATCTTCTTTGCAAACTCTATGTGGAAATTTTCACAAGAAGTTTAAACAAGAGCCAGATGCCATTTTCACATTAGTATATTCTTAAAAAATTTGTACTAGTATTCCTGGCGAAAAGTGACAAATGTAGGCAAATGGTTTTGTTATCCCTTCTGTACACATTATGCCAAAGGAAAGATATGTTACTAAAAATAAGGACCTTGTCACTTTATTGGCATGACTGACGAAATTGGGACTAATTAGTGATTTTCTGTATTACTTAGGACAAACTAATCAAGAACTCCATCTAAATAGTTGCAGAAATCTACTGTGTTAGACTCCAGTTAAGATTCTGTGTGCGTGAAGTTATTATTTTCTTCCAAATAAAAAATACAAGAAAACTCACTGAAGGTAGAAACTGTTTGATTTGACATAAAAATGAAGACACGCTTTCCTTTTTTCTGAGATAGTACACTTTGTGATTCACAGGATAACTTGCATCAGACCAATTTAATGAAAGCTCTCAAATAAGCGATTTTATTCCTATCCATGATTGCAGACATTTACAAAACCATAACATCTGAGTTCACCTTAAAAAATAACTTATATAAAGCAGTGATATACACAGCACAAAATAGTTCAGGGAGGGGCAGGAGCAACTTTAATAATTAAAATGTAAACGTGAAAAAAAGGATGGAATAAAAGTCCCTACTTACTTCTACTTAAGATGTCATGTGGAAATATTTTACAATGTCCCGTGGGTCAGTGTATGTATGTGCCTATGTCCATAAAACATACACATATACAATACATTTTCTGTCCCACACATATACATACACAGATAATTATTTGCAGTTCAGTTTAGGGCAATTCTAATATGCCACTCCGTACAGTTGTTTGAATCACGTTTGGACCCGCTTTCTTCACAAAAGAGGGGAGAGAGCAGGAAATAAAAAGGTTGGTTTGGTGTGACTGAGATTCCTTCGTTTAACTGTACACTGTGATGAATAATTTTCTTCCGGAGGAGTTCTGTGAAGGGCTGACTCACTGTGGTTTTCATGAGGAGACTTGGTAATGGCTCACACACTCATTGTCATGCTTGGGGAGTACTAGGAGAGAAGAATCCGCATTGTAACAGTCATTCTTTTACAGACCACTAACTGTTCTTCTTGGTAAACAATAGTAACTGCACATTCTAATGTCTCGTGGTTTTTCGTGCATAAGCTTTTAACTTCATACAACAGGAAATATAGGGAGTAAATTTCTACATAGTTGACTTATTCCTGAATTTACTCTTTCCTCTGGAAAGCAATTAGTCCCATTCTTTCCCTGGGGTCATTTTCAACCACTTCGTCATCAGGTTCATGTTTTGTGTGTGAGCAGTTATAATAACTATTAGGGAAAATTCAGCCCAACCTGGAGTAATAATTAAACAGAGCAAGAGGGAAAGTCTTCGCTGCGGAACTGAGGGTGGTTGGCCCCTCAGTGCGTTAGTTGCCTCACCTGTGAAATAGGTTTAGTAACAGTTTCTATTATAGAGGGGTCTGAAGAGGAATAGACAACCCTTAAACCCAGCTATGGATTGAATATACAGAAATGCTCAGTGAATGTCAGACTAGTCATAAGGTGAGGGAGAAGAAAAGAACAAAAGCAAAACTCCAGGTTTTCAGCTAGTTCTAAACAGATTATTAAGCGTTTAGGGAATTTAAAGAGCTTGAATTATATTGGAGCACAGTGGTCTTCAACTGCTGTTCCACGGCTGAGGGTGTAGGAAGGAAGGAAGCCACCCAATGCCTTCTCCTCACTTGTGACTCTACCTCAGTTCAGTTAGCTAGGGGAGAGCACATGGGGGTTGCAGTAATGTGTTACAAGCAAGCTTGATGACGCTGACAATTTATAAAAGGCGAGTTTCTAGGAATTTGGAAGAGTGGCCTCAGAATGACTTTGAGAGGAACAAGAGCAAGTACTGTGAAGATAATCTGCCTTCCTCATTCTGAGGCAGGAAATTGCTGAGTGACAGGACTTGCTCCAGGGACAAGACACGGTCTAGAATCTGGGGTCCAGCATGGAGGTCACCAGCTGCTGGTGGGTACTGAGCACATGCAATGAGGGGAGTGCTGTAGAGGAACTGAAATTTAATGCTCTCATGTAGTGGGTGGGAACTTGTTTTAAAAGCCCATCTAGATATCCTGATGTGGGGAGGGAACCTCCAACACAAATGCAGTCATGCTCTCCAGAAGGTTTCCAGATTAAAATGTAATGTGGAGGTGGGGCTGGGGGAGCAGAGAGTGAGTTCAATGGGCTGAGAGAATGCTTTGTACTTTCGAGCCCCAGATTGGGTCCCTGGCACCACACGGCACCTTAAGTGCTGCCAGAAGTTGACTTCTGAGCATTGGCAGGTTAAACACAATTTTCTTTTTTTAAAAATGTGGACCCTTATTTATTTTTATGTTTTGGTAAAGATCTGTAAGGACTAAGGTAGACATGGAATTCCTTTTAGGCTGGAGATAGTTTGAAGGGCTGCACTGCCCATTTTGCATATGAAATGCCAGGCTTTGATCTTTGGTACCACATGGAACACTGAGCACCACTGGAGGTGCTCCCCAACCCTCAAAGGATTTCCTTTTAACATGTTGATAAAGATTATGCCTTATGAGAAAAGGCAGATAAACTTAGCTGGACTGGTCCCAGGCTGGAGAGGGGTAACTAGGGAACAATCAATGTTTGGGACAGGGGAGCGTGAGCATCTTGGAGTGGAAACAGAGAATGGAGTGACATGGATTTGGCACGCTGAGGACCTGCAGGAGCCAGAACCCTCTAAGGTGTGTACTGAGATAATTTGGACAGAATTGTGAGGGGAAGCAGGATTCTTCAGGCAAAAACCCAGGTCTTGGGCTCAGTGGACAGAAGTCTGTGCCAGAAGTCCTCAGGGCAAGATCTAGGGCTCATGTCAAGAATCCCAAATTGTAGGCCAGAAAGATGGCTCAACAGGTTGAGTATATGCTTGCATGTCAGAGCCCAGTGACCATCCCTGGCACTGCACAGGCCCGGTCATTGCCTGAATGATGCCAGAGCACTGTTGGATGTGCCACCCCCTCCCCCCCCCAAAAAAGAGAAAAATCTGAAAATTCATTTAAGTTAAAGGTAAATGCCAGACCCCCTAAAATAGGTCACTGGACTCTCAGAGTTGGAGTGTTAAGTCTTTTAAAATATGGGTGAAATGAAGGAAAATCTGCCTGTTATTCACTTAAGAGCCCTGTTTCCTTTTGACACAGGAAGACTAAGTTATCTTCACGATGAGACTTTGTTAGGTGCCATCATGTAGCTGGGAAAAAGGGAAATGGCAGGGGAAGAGATGGAGGATTCAGCGTGACAGACAAACCTCTCCCTCTGCCCCTGAGGCAGCAGCAAAAGAACAAAGCAAAGCAGGACAAAAGCAATCCCTCCCAAACAATCAAAGACCAGGACTAAAACAACGGGAGCCCACGCTATCTCTGTTCTGGAAAGGATCTACACCCCTTACTCCACTGCCACAAAAATACCACATAAGCATCACATTATAAATTCAGACAGGAAGGTTCTTTGAATTATCCAAATCCTTTGACAAAAATATTGTTAAAGATTTTGACTAAGAATAAAGATATGGGATGGGAGATGCGTGCTGAAAGTAGACCATAGACCAAACATGATGGCCACTTACTACCTGCACTGCAAACCATAACATCCAAAAGGAGAGAGAGAGAGTAAAAGGGAGTGTGCTTGCCACAGAGGCAGGTGGGGTGGCAGGGTGGGGGTGGCAAGAGGGATACTGGGAACATTGGTGGTGGAGAATGGTACTAGTTGAGGGATGGATACTGATCATTTTATTTACTTATTTATTTTTTACACATATACTTTTAATTTTCATTTTATTATTATTTTAATATAGAAGTGTTATTTTATTTTATTTTTTAAAAATTTTTATTAGTGAAATACCATGAGGTACAGTTGTAGACCTACAAATCTCTGCGCTTGGGTTTCAATTATACAATGATCAAATACCCATCCCTCCACCAGTGCTCATTTTTCACCACCAAGCGTCCCAGTATCCCTCCCAGCTCCCATATCCCCCATCCCACCCTGCCTCTGTGGCAGGGCATTCCCTTTTGTTCTCTCTCTCCTTTTGGATGTTGTGGTTTGCAAAAGAGGCATTGGTTGGCAATCATGTTTGGTCTATAGTCTACTTTCAGCATGCTTCTCCCATCCTGGAAGGATCCTCCCAACACCCTTTATTTGGTGTTCCCTTCTCCCCTAGCATTTATGGCTGGCCTCCAAGCCATGGAGCAAACCTCCTGGTACTAATCTCGGACACTCTTGGGTGTTGGTCTCCTATTTTGTTACTTTATGTTCCCCAGATGAATGCAATCTTTCTATGTCTATCCCTATCTTTCTGACTCATTTCGCTTAGCATGATACTTTCCATGTAGTACCACTCGTATGTGAATTTCATGACTTCATCTTTTCTAACAGCTACATAGTACTCCATTGTGTAGATGTACCAAAGTTTCTTTAACCAGTCAGATACTCGATCATTTTATGACTAAAATGTAATTACAAAAGTTTGTAAGTGTGCAACTGTACATCATGGTGATTCATTAAAAGATTTAATAAAAGGACAATAAGGGTACCAAAGTTATAAGAAAAGTAGAAATAATTAGAGTATGTGGCAAAATTAGAATGCAGCTTTTGTCCCTGCTTTTGTGTATAGTAAGAATAACTGAAACCCAAGCACAAAAATTTGTAAGAAATGGGTCCTGAACATGATTGCCACTCAATGCCTCTTTTGCAAACTACAGCACCCAAAAGGAGAGAGAGAACAAAAGGGAATGCCCTGCCACAGAGGCAGGGTGGGATGGGGGAGATGGGGGGTGGGAAGGATACTGGGATTAGTGGTGGTGGAGAACGGGCACTGGTGGAGGGATGGGTACTCGATCATTGTATAACTGAAAACTAAGCACAAAAATTTGTAAGTCTACAACTGTACCTCATGGTGTTTCACTAATAAAAAATAAAAAAAGAAGAAAAAAAGAATTGGAGATCCATGCCCAGCTATTTAACGAAACATGTGACTATGATGTTCTACTTCATGCAGCCATTAATATAAGTGGTTTCTGGACTCTTAAAACCTAGCCATGTAATTCAGACACTGAAAATGTAGCCATTCAATTTTGTTACCTTTATGTAGTATAGCTATATCATCCATTATTTTAAGACAAAGAATCTATTGGATGCACTGTGACAACAACTTAAAAACCAAATCATGTACTAAAGCATTTAAGAAAGAATTTCACTGTTCAAGGGTTTTGGATATTTTGGTGATATAGATTAGTAACTGTACTCACCGCTGATGTACGTGTAACTATAAAAAATCACTATTGTGAGCATATAATAAATAAATGAGTTCTCTATGGAATGAGGCAATTATGATTTTTAACGTGTGAATTCCAATGTCTTAAGTAAACCAATGAAAATTGAAAACTTTACAAATCCATTGGGTATTTAAAAATGACACTTATTTGAAAAATAGGTACAGCAAGAGAGAAACTTGTGCTCTGATTCATTCAGAAAGAAATACAAATTAGAAAAATTGGCAAGCTTCTCATAAAGTTTAGTTCTGTATAGTGAAAGTACTTGTTAAAAGAGCTAAGTGTATTTGTGTAGTAAAACAGACTGTATTTATGTCCAATCATCTATACAGCTGCCATGCTATCTGAACCATGAGAGTAAGCTGTTCATCTGTGCCCCCTTGTTTGAAACTGTTGTATGTGGTCCAATTAAGGGAAATCACAAAAAATCTCAGAAAACTCAGAGAATATGCAAGGGAACAGAAATTTTGCTATTGATCACTATTCTTCAAAGTGGAAGATAGTGGCTTACAGTTTTCCAGAAGTAAAGGAAGAGTAGGTGTTAAATGGGGTATCGGATTTAGAGACATAAATTATTCATGGTGTACTGTCCCGAGACCACACTGTGATGTTTCTGTTGTACTGCTGCATCAATATGTGATGACATATTGTTATGTTTGTGCCAAAATGTGGCAAGATCAGGTTGCCCTGTCTGAGCCTATTCTGGAAGTCTGGTTCTCCTCAATTAGATGATAAAACGGCTCTTACAAAGTGGCTGACAGCATTACTATTTGGCTTAGCAAAAAAATAAAAACGTAGATCAAAAGGTATACCTTTAAATATATACTAACACTTTCCCATTTTATGTAATCTATCTTTTGAAATGGTTTGCCTTGATATAAAGTAGAAAATCTGTGATATACCTCCTTTTCTATCCCACTCACGGACTAGGGGTTCCTGCAAAGATGATAGCCATTAAATCTCCAATGTGTCCAATCTCCTGTTTATACACTACAGGAATACCTCCAATCGCACTCCCTATCTAAACATCTATAGTTTCTTTTCTTCTTTTTGGGGGGGTTGGGGGGCTCACTGGCAGTGCTCAGGCTTACTTCTGGCTCTGCACTCAGAGGTCACTCCTGGAGGGGACTGGGGACCATATGTGTGGCAGAGAGAGAACCCAGGTTGGCTGTGTGCAAGTCAAGCACCCTACCCACAGTACTATCATTCTGGGTCTACTTAATTTTCTTAGAGATAAATAAAACATAATGCAACTACTCTGAACTGAAATAATGTGAAATAAATTAAGTGATGAAGTGACCAAAAACAGGAGACATCTTTACCTTCTTTAGTAGCATGACAGCAGGCATTAGGGCCACAAGATGATCTACCACCTAACATGTTTATAACTCTTATTTTATTTAATGATTCTAGCATCATTACTCAACTGCATGTAATTCAAGGCAAGGAGAAAATATTCTGTTAAATGAATTCAGGAGGTAAGACTGCTGTCTTGAGATGCTTAAGAAATGTTCTTGAATTTAGCTGGTCTGCATCCCATTTATTTTCCAAACAAATATTTTATAGGATTTGAACACTAGGGGGCATTTTTGTTTCTTGAAATAGAGACCTTGTTTATGACTTGGGGAAAAATATCCCCACAAATCAAGACAGTGGCTGTAGAGAGAAACATTTTTTGATTTACACTTTTCTGTGAATGTTGGCACTGCAAGGTTTGTGACTTTGTGCTAGGCAGTTTGGTATCTCTATCAATTAAAGGAAATCGCATGGAGGAACTGACTCGGTTAGTATCTCGTACATAAAAGGTGCTCAGTACATGTTCGCTCCCTCTCTCGGCCTCCTGTGGTTTAACTTCAAGACGGACACAGCCTCAAAAGGCAGCTCAGAAATATGTGCTTTTCAGAGCTATGTGCTTTAAGACATAGTAGGCTGCACGTTCCCCTCGCTAGAAAACACTTCCTTCCTGAATTTACTTCATGGTTCCTTTTCCCGATTACAGTGAAGCAAACTGACTGGAGCTACCCACCCCCTTTACTTTGAGCCTGAACATTTGTCAGCACCGAACCCCTTTTGTCTTCCTCTCTCCTCTCATTTCTTGATCTTTTACAGACATCTAAACAGAACCGGGATGTGGTGTGATAGAGAAAGCCACAGCTAACAATGACATCATTCAAAGCAGGGCAGACCCCTTGGCCAGACGACAAAAGGCCAGAGCAGTTTGTGTAGACCTGCTTCCAAGGCGGCCACCCCCCGCCTCCACCTCCTCTCAGGCCGCTGCAGCTTCTCGACATCATCCAATTATTTTTTCCCTTTTGGGACTTTTCTGGTGGGGACAGGAGAAGAGGGGGGGGGGGATTGGAGGGGCCTTTTGTTTTCTGAGAACTGCGCAGTCTGTGCCTTCTCCTGGGCTTTCGGGTGCTGGGCCGGGCCAGAGTCAGGGCTGGGAACAGCCTTGCTCCAGCTGCTCCTTTCTATGCACACAGCCACAAAGGGACCTGGCTTTTTTCTTCTCTTTTTAAAAGCGTCCGCATCTCCGAGTTGGGGTGAAAGGGTGAGGCTGGTGTTTATGCCACACAAAGAAGTTTGAAAATTTCTGTTAGAGCTGCCACCTTCTTCCCCATGAAGAGCTTTCTTTTTCGGAAAATTCCCAGTATTATTGAGAAACAAAGACATACTGTGTCAGCTTAAAGGCACACAGCATGAATGTTTGATTTACAGAGACTGTGAAATTATTACCACAATAGGTCTGACTAACAGCCATCTTCTCATATAGATAACATACAAAGGAAAAAAGGGGGAGAACCCCTTTGTGATAAGCTCTCTGAGGATTTGCTCTCTTAACTTCCCTACACATCACCCAGAGGTGCCAGCCATGGTTATCGCATTACAAGTATGTCCTGCGTGCTTATGTGTCTGATAACTGGAGTTTGTATCTTCTCACCACCTTCCTCCGGGCAGGTCCCCGCCCCCCGCAGAACCACAAGTCTGGTGTTATATTTTTTAGGAGTTTTCTTTTTTTTCCCTACAAGGGCCATTTTCGGATTCTGTTTGTAGTTTAGTACATCTTCCACAGTACATTTTAATGACGGCAATACATGTGTGGGGGCTGTGGGACTAGGAACATAGCATTCACTTAATATCTGGAATCCTTTATGCTTTACCTCAGCGTGGCTGTAAGTAGCATGTAAGCCTCAGCAGCACCCTGGCTTCCTCACCAGCAATCTCCCAGGCCCCCAAGCTCAGGAAGTTCTGATTCATGAGGTCTAGGGAGGGTTCTGAGAAACTGTGCTCTTAAAAATGTTATAGGTGGGGCTGGAGTGGTAGCGCAGCGGGTAGTGCATTTCCCTTGCACACGGACGACCCGGGTTCGAGTCTCAGCATCCTATATGGTCTCCTGAGCACTACCAGGAGTAATTCCTGAGTGTGTGAGCCAGGAGTAACCCCTATGCATTGCTGGGTGTGAACCAAAAAAAGAAAAAAAAAGTGACAGGGGCTTTGAATGTGAAAAATCATTTTTAAAAGCATGTTATGATGTAACAACAAAGAATTTACCTAATACCCATCTGATAAGGGGTTAATATCCAGGATACACAGACACTAGTAGAATTGTACAAGAAAAAAACCTTCAACCCCATCAAAAAATGGAAATAAATGAACAGAATCTTTCTCAAAAAAAGAAATACAAATGGCCAAAAAGCATGTGAAAAAATGCTCTACATCATTAATCATCAGGGAGATGCAACTCAAAACAACGAAGAGATAGCTCACACCACAGGGACTGGCACACATTAAAAAGAACAAGAACAACCAGTGCTGGCATGGATGTGGGGGGAAAAGGGATAGCTTTCATTATTGGTAGGAATGTGACTGGTTCAGCTTTTATGGAAAACAATATGGGCATTCCTTCAAAAACTAGAAATTGAGCTTCCATATGACCCTGCAATACTACTTCTAGGAATATATCTCAAGGGTGCAAAAATGCACAGTAGAAATGACATCTGCACCTGTTTTTTCATTGCAGCACTGTTCACAATTGCCAGAATCTGGAAACAACCCAAGTGCCCGAGAACAGGCGACTGGTTAAAGAAACTCTGGTACATCTACACAATGGAATACTATGCAGCTGTTAGGAAAAATGAAGTCATGAAATTTTCTTGATGTTCATGGACAGTTGATGGATGTTCATGGAGAGTATCATGATAAGTGAAATGAGTTAGAAAGAGAGGGACAGACGTAGAATGACTGCACTCATTTTTGGAATATAAAATAACATGAGACTGACACCCCAAGGACAGTAGACACGAGGGCCAGGAATATTGCTCCATAGATGGAAGCCTGCCTCATGAGCTGGGAGAGAAAGCAGCTGGAATAGAGAAGGGATCACTAAGTCAATGATGGTTGGAGGGATTGTTCGGGATGGGAGATGTGTGCTGAAAGTAGATAAAGGACCAAACATGATAGCCTCTCAGTATCTGTATTGCAAACCATAATGACCCAAAGTTGAGAGAGAGTACGGGGGAAATTGTCTGCCACAGAGGCAAGGGGAGGGTTGGAATGTGGCGGGGGGAGACTGGGAATATTGGTGGTGGAAGATGTGCACTTGTGGAGGGGTGGGTGTTCAATCATTGTATGACTGAAACTCAAACATGAAAGCTTTGTAACTGTAACTCATGGTGATGCAATAAAAATTATGAACTATTATAAAAATAGACACAAAGACAAATGGAATAAAATCAGAATTACAGAATAAAAAAAAGAGACCATAATGCTCATTGGGCTTTCTAATGCCTGGTATAATGTTTTGATTCATGTAAGTGCTCAATAGTTATTAGTCTAATGAACAAATGAATCTTATTGTGTCTCTTTTTGCTTCTATGTTGACAGGCAAAGAAAGGATCATTCTGGAAACATATCATCATGCCTAATACATGTCTTGAGTATCTTGCTCAGGTTAAATGTAAACAACAGGTTAACAACTACCAATACTGGGGTGTTCAGTCTATGAGGTCTAGGGACTGAAGGACAGCCACTTTGCAAAAATTTTTAGAGCCATAAGGACAGCATGAATATAGACCTGGCTTTGAAATGACATAAGAAAATTTAGTAACATGAAAACAGGTATGAACTACTAAATATGCAACCAATTTCTTATGTGTTCCTTTGTAATATATGTATGCTAAAAGAAAATCAGTAATAGTTTTTGGTTTTGCAACAGTGTACACAGAATGAATAATTGAAATGTTTAAATGGAATTTTCAGAAAAAAATTAAAATCTTTCTAACATTCAGAAGATTGACCAACTCAACTCAAGATAAACAGCAGGAACAATGGCTGCATGCATGTACTCTAGTAGAACTTTGTAAACAAAATCTGGATATAGTAAAGGAATACTTACACTCTCACTCTGGAAAGGATTTAAGAAATTTCCCCCCATTTCACCATCATCCCTCGGAGTGCCCGGCTGATTACTCAGGCTCATGTTATTGGGAGAATTCTGTAAACAAGATTTAGAAAACAAGACAGTGTTGAAGATTTTACTTTCCCTCTTACTCTGCACCATTTCAGAAATGGAATCGATGGCAGCATCTCTCGGGGCAAAGCCCACCTGCAATCTTAATTTTAGATTTTTTACCACATATTCCAGTTTACTTTTGGTACCCTGTCAAGTACTAATGTTTTCATCAAATGAAAAATAACAAACACATAAAAAACACCAAATAACCCAACACAACTGTCTCCTTAGTCCCAGAATCAATACTTATTCCACATTTTCCACCCCCAGCTTATAGAGTTCCTAGAACTCTGGATAGTTTAAAAATGTGCCTAGCCGGGGCACGGTGAAGAGAGATCATTCACCAATGAGACCTGATAGAACAATGACTTTCCTTGGTAATTTTATTGATCAAACTTCAAAAGATCATTGTTTAAATAAGCAGTCCCCCCTAATTCTACACAAGGTTCACACAGTCTTCCACCTATTTTTAATGTGATTCTTAAGGAGAAAAAAGGAGATTGATAATTATCAAGTTTACTTAAGAATATGCCAAACACAGTAACAGCAAGTCTCACAATGGAAATGTTACTGGGCCCGCTCGAGCAAATCGATGAACAATGGGAGGACAGTGCTACAGTGCTACAGTTAAGAACAAGAGAAATCCTTGGACTTGAGAATTCAAAGTGTACTTTTATTATTTTAAATTTTTATTTATTTATTTTGCTGTTTGGGGCTGGAGCGATAGCACAGCGGTAGGGCATTTGCCTTACATGCAGCCAACGTGGCCGACCCGAGTTCAATTCCTCTGCCCCTCTCGGAGAGCCCGGCAAGCTACCGAGAGTATCTCGCCTGCATGGCAGAGCCTGACAAGCTACCCGTGACGTATTCGATATGCCAAACACAGTAACAACAAAGTCTCCAGTGGAGACGTTACTGGGCCTGCTCGAGCAAATTGATGAACAACGGGAGGACAGTGACAGTGAGAGTGCTGTTTGGGTCATACCCAGCGATGCACAGGGGTTACTCCTGGCTCATGCACTCAGGAATTATTCCTGGCGGTGCTCAGCGGACCATACGAGATGCTGGGAATCAAACTTGGGTCGGCCGTGTGCAAGGCAAATGCCCTATCTGTCGTACTATCCTCCAGCCCCCAAAGTGTGCTTTTTAGAGGAAAACAAAAAAGGTCTACAAGGAAAGATGCTTTGTAATCTTTTCCTGTCATGAATGTACGAGTAAATGTTTAAGAGGAAATGGTTATTTTTCATCCAATCATAATTGACATTAGCCCCACTATCAGACTCTATGCAGATTTGCCATCTCATTCTTAATGTGCAATTTCAGTTGCTCCAGGTCCTCTGGCACTGGTAGCTAAACCTGCTCAACTGCATCTAAGCCTCCCCTCCACCCCCTGCATTGCCACTGTGATGTAGGGACTTTGCTAAAGTCCCATTCGTTAACTTGAAAAATAATCTTCAAGGTGAATTTTTTTTTCTTGATTTCAAATGAAAGAGTTTAGATCTTCCTCTTAAGTACTGCCATTTTATATTCCTTTTTTTGGAGGTCATACATTTTTATATACTTTCTTTACAAGAAAAATGCTAAGGATTTTGATTCAATTAAAACTTAGTTATGTTATAGAAATTAACTTTTCATTAGTTATTCCCTGGAAAATGTGTGCTTTTTTTTAAGAAAATGGGTAAAGTGCAGAGAAGAACCTGTAGATGTGCTATTGGAAATACAGCCTGAATCTCATCCTGCTGTGCACCCTGCAGGGAGGATCTGAGAACAAGGCTCCTGTGAAGTCCACGGGAGCTGGGTCTGCAGTGAACCCCAAGGTCTGGGAACCTTTGTTTACTGGCAGAAAGAGAATTCTACTTTGGAGGGGAGGCAGAATTCTAGCATTTCATTCAGCATTTTTTGAAAACAATTAGGACACTCTCAAACACTAAGAATTGAGCTTCAATATGACCCAACAATTCCACTTCTGGACCTTTACCCGAAGGGCCCCAATACAATATTCAGAAAAGCATGTGTACTCCTATGTTTAGTTCACTGCAGCACTATTTACAATAGTCAAAATCTGGAAACAACTTAAGTGTTTATGAACAGATGATAGAGCAAAGAAACTGTGGTTAATTTGGTTTATATACACAATAGAATACTACTGGGTTGTACGATTCACACAATTTGCCACTATGTGGATGGATCTTGAGGTATCATGCAGAAGTCATCCAGATGTAGATGGACAGACACAGAATGGTCCCTCTCATATGTGGGATATAAAGAAGCATAGACTGGGAGTGAAAAATGGCTCAAAGCAACAGAATCTTAAGAACTGCTCTTTAGACCTGAGTTAATCGTGGCAGTGAGACATGACAGGGAAGTGGCGATCCTGAAACAATTGTGGAAAGAAATGAACACTTTGGTGGGGTGTGGTCTTAGGATGCTGTATATGTGAAACTCTGTCACTGACAGTATTATAGATTTTTAATTATGGTGACAAAAAATCCATTACATACATAAAGGAGAAGTTGGGATAAAATATTCTAATGTATTACATAAGTATATAAATACATATCTAAGGGTATATTTGGAAGCTATATAGTTTTATATAATTTATAAATATATGAAATAAGTCTTCTCCATTCTTGTACACAAGAATACATCCCTGGCAGTACATGAAGATCTTAATTTAGTGGGGGTGCTCAGTCTCTGCTGAGTTTTTGTCATGTACCATTTCTCTATTTCATTTTCTGTGGTGCCAGAGCTCAAACCCAGGGCCTAATGTATGAGAAGCATGTGCTATACCACTAAGCTACACACCCAGCCACAATGTACCATTTCTTGATATATACTTTTGAAAGTCTGGCTAACTTCAAATCTAATTATGATGCAGAGCACTGAAAGTAACATTGTGGTTAATAGTTAATAACTTACAAAACACTGTTATTAGTTCTGCTTTCCATAATGTCTTTTAAAGCATGGTGGCTCAGGATTCTACTCTTTCTTCTCCCCTTCTCTCTCTTTCTCTCTACCCTCCCTCTTTTTCTTGTGGTAAAGGTAAAAGGTAAAGGTCCTCCCGTTGTTCATCGATTTGCTCGAGCGGGCCCAGTAACGTCTCCATTATGAGACTTGTTGTTACTGTGTTTGGCATATCGGATACATCACGGGTAGCTTGCCAGGCTCTGCCATGCGGGCGAGATACTCTCGGTAGCTTGCCAGGCTCTCCGAGAGGGGCAGAGGAATCAAACTCGGGTCGGCCATGTTGGCTGCATGCAAGGCAAACGCCCTACCACTGTGCTATCGCTCCAGCCCACTTTCTTGTGGAGTGAGAAGAAATTTAAAAATACCAAAAGATAGATTAAAATGACAAATACGGGCCAGAGAGATAATAAAGGGGTTAAGGTGCTTGTCGTGCATGTGGCCAATTTCAGTTTGATCCCTAGTACCATATCTGAGGAAGGAGTATTTTGAGAGAGAATCCCTCAACAAAATAAGTAAACGAACACACCAAACATACAAAAAGTACTTTACTTTATTTGAACATCTTGAAAGGAAAGGAGAAGGGTTTTTGTTTGTAACTTTAAGTAATCTCTGAAAAAAGTAAAAACAGTAAAAAGTTTCTTAATTGAGAAAATAAAGAGAATTTGCTCTTTGTGATGGAGTGATACCATGAAGATGTAACTAAAGATGCGTTCAATATCAGCATCTGAGGAACAGCCAAGATGTGAGATCATAAGTATCAGTTCAGAGACTGTAAGGAGAATCAAGGTAACAAACTGTGTGTCACATTGTATTGTAGCTGTATTGTCACTACTTGATTTCATCATTTAGAAGAAAGTCTCGATTATAAGGTAAAAGCTGCTTTGGCTGATCAAAAAGATACCCTAAACGCATAAGTATGTGAATAGGGGGTACACAAGATTACAAGTAAAGATAACTTTGAGCTTTGATAGTGTTTTTTCAGTTAACATGTCCTTTCTTCCCTTAGACTCCTGGTATTCAGCGCAAAAAATAATCATACTTATCACTTCTGCAAGAAATACCTTTTTATTCATCCTTTCTTCAAACTGAAATGTTGTCTCCTTAAACTATGATGTAATATGCAATAGTTCAATATAAGCACACACAGATTCAGTTTCCTCTAGCTAAAACAATTAATATTCTTAGACTTTCTGCTCTGATTTTATCTTATAAGTATTATTAATTGCTTAGTAGCTGTCCCTTTTACCCATCCTCAAAAATTAGCCAAAATATGTTGGAACTTCTATTTAAAAAGTAAATATTTGGAAAATTTTAGCTCTGCCTATAAGTATACTCAAGCATATACGTGACTTAGAAGTCAGTATTGAATGGATTTTTCTAAGACAGCCAATGACTCTTTATGAATCACTTTGATTGGCAGCTTCTTCCTCCTCCCACTAGAAGAATAAATAAAAGGTAAAAAAGGTAAAGGCCCTCCCGTTGATCATCGATTTGCTCGAGCGGGCCCAGTAACGTCTCCATTGGAGACTTTGTTGTTACTGTGTTTGGCATATCGAATACTCTCGGTAGCTTGCCGGGCTCTCCAAGAGGGGCGGAGGAATCGAACTCGGGTCGGCCATGTAAGGCGAACGCCCTACCGCTGTGCTATCACTCCAGCCCTGGGTTGGCTGCATGCAAGAACTCTGGCACTACAGAAAATGAAATAGAGAAATGGTACATGACAAAAACTCAGCAGAGACTGAGCACCCCCACTAAATTAAGATCTTCATGTACTGCCAGGGATGTATTCTTGTGTACAAGAATGGAGAAGACTTATTTCATATATTTATAAATTATATAAAACTATATAGCTTCCAAGTATACCCACAAAACTGACAAACAGTAAGAGTCCTTTGATCCACAAACAAGAATGACTAGAAAACTAGGATGGGAAGGAAATGAACACAAGAAATAAGAAAAAGGAGTTTTTATTTGAGATTATTGGAAATGCTGGAAAAGGAAGATAGGGAAAATCAAGTTAGTAAAAATGTATGAATTTTGGTGTAAAATACTGAAATATGTCTCTTGTTAGAAAGATGAGAATGAAAAAGTTATTTCCATTCTATCTCTAAGTGGCATGTTTATTACTTGGGGATGATTCTTATGTTATATATTTCTGAATTTTGCTGTATAAAAGTTTTCCTTATTTGTATTTGATTTGTCTCAGTTATACTGCTTGAGGGCAGAGACTATATTTTGTTTATCCTGGGATTTTTCTGAGTCCAGCATAATACTTTGGCACATTAATGTTTACTGAATGACAGAACTCCTGCACAAGTATAAACCACTTGAGGACAGAGATTATGTTTGTGTATAAAGAAGTCTTTTTTTTTTTAAATCTCCTTTGAGTGCACAAGGCAACACTCAGTACTGAAAAATACACATTGGGTGGTCAATTAATGCTCACAGAATAAGCATTAGGCAAGAGAATGTTATCAACAGTCAGTACAGTGCTAGAAAATCTTGTCTCCAAGAATAGAAATGGGAAAAATAAGCACAAAAGGAAGAGCAATAAATATGATTTGAGGGCAGATTAGATGACGGTGTTTAGCTTGTCATTATGAATCTATTTTTGAAATTTTAAGTGCTTTGTAAATTACAAAGTACTGTCCTATCAAGAATTTTGTTTACATCTAAGGTTGAAGGTTATGGATTGTTATTGGAAATTTTAGAAGGATGGCAGCAAGCAATCTGATTCCAGCTATGTGTATTGAAGAATTAACTCTAGAAACTACAATATGCTTCTGAAATATAATATTAGAAATTTCAGTGGTGATCACAAAATACAATTCTGGTAATATCAATTGTTATTTACCTGAGATAGCTAATATAATCATGGCCATCTGATTTTTAAAAGTGATTTCCAAAGAGAAGGCTCTGAGACAAACACTGTTTCTCAACTCTTTTCAGTCATGGACCCTTTCAAACCTTATTTCCTTCTTGTGACCCCACTCCCCTGACCCCTTTCCTCCTGGCTGGCCCACAAATCTCACACCTGCCTTTCTACCCCTAGTCATGTGACTTTCATTGAGGACCTCTTGGGATATCCTGGAGATCATCATTTATCCCAGACCCTTATTGTGGAGACAGGCTTTTGGAAGGCTTGCCTAATTCTGCCCCTTTTGTTCAGAAACAATCTAGAGCCCATTGTAAACGTTTATTTATTTTTAGAAAAGAAAAACTTTCCTGTTTATTCATTACTACACATTCAAAATGCATGTAGTATATTCACAAGGCCAAGCAAGCAAGGTGATGTAGATATAATCATGTAGAAATACAATTCAACTTTTTTTGGCTTGAAATCTTAATTTTAAAAGACCGAGTATCTCAATTTTAATTTTCAGATTTCACAAATTCTAAGTATTCATATTTTAAAATTCTAGCTATATCTGGCTCTTTACTGACCTTTTCCCTCCAAACTCTGAAGAATAAAATTCATAGAGAAGCTGGTAATGTTGACAGGTTTAAAGGTACTACAATACAGATGGGAGCTAGAAAGATAATACTGTGGATAAGGTGCTTGCCCTGTACTCAGCTGAACTGAGTTTGACCCCCAGCATCCTATATGGCCCCCCAGAACTGCTAGGGATAATGCCCGAACACAGCCAAGTGTGGCCACCAAATCCTCACCACCAAAAAAAATAAATTACAGATGAACACCACCACAAATACATTATACTCACCTTGGAAATACTGTCCATATCTCCTGAGCCTGAAACAAAACAGGAAAAGAATAAGTTAATGAACTTTATTTATAAAACAAAATAAGTACTTCTTTAATATAAGTAAACACAGCACACTGAATTTTTAAAATTTCCTGAATTTCAAAGTCTTATTTCCTTTTCTCTTACTATGTATGGTGATTAAATACTCTATAAAGGCAAATGCAGGAAGAACTGTGTATTCTTAGTTCCCAAGCCGATATTTTTGTAATGGCAGTAGTAATGAAAACTTTTGCTTAATATCTTGAAAATGTCATAAATAAAATGAAATATTAGAGATCACATATAGTCTAAATTCAAAAAATTCTACACATTTGAATGTGTACACATATAGCATATTTTATGTTTTGAAATGTTTATATATATTAACATATATAAATAGAAAGTAAAAGGTATCAAAATATATTTTCCACAATTACATTTTTTTGTTCTGATTTTTGGTGTTTGAGGGTCACTCTTGATAGTGCTTGGGGAATCATGTAGTGGCAGGGACTACACCTGGGGCTCTCACATGCAAAGCAGTCACTGTCAACTGTGCCTGAAATGATTTTCTTAATCTGATAAAGTATAAAATGGACATGATAAAATACTTAAAAACTATTCTGAATCTTATTTTACTTTAATAACCCAAAGCAAAATACTTTTTAAAATATCACAAATTTGACAGCAATAAATATTCATGGAAATCATTTTGTTTGTGTTGGGGTCAAACCTGGCTGTGCTCAGGACTTACTCCTGGCTCTGCATTCTTGGATGAAGTGCCAGGGATCAAACCTGGGTCAGCACATGCAAGGCAAATGTCTTACCTGCTGTACTATCTCTGTGCTCCCCCACCAAATACAATTATGTGATATATATTACTACACTACACTTTTACTTTAATTATGTGACTAAGTAATGAACAACTGATACTCATTTCTTGTTTAAGAAATAGAATCTGCTTTTCGTGTGGACACCGCTGCTGCAAGCATGGTGAACGTACTGAAAATCCGCCAGACTTTTTGTAAGAAATGTGGCAAACATCAGCCCCACAAAGTCACACAGTACAAGAAGGACAAGGATTCTCTGTATGACCAGGGAAAGCATCGTTATGACAAGAAGCAGAGTGGTTACGGAGTTCAAACTAAGCCTATTTTCCGGAAAAAGGCTAAAACTACAAAGAAGATTGTGTTGAGACTTGAATGTGTCGAGCCCAACTGCAGATCTAAGAGAATGCTGGCTATTAAGAGATGCAAGCATTTTGAACTGAGAGGCGATAAAAAGAGAAAGGGACAAGTGATCCAGTTCTAAGCTTCATCTTTTATTATGAAGGCAGAAATCCTGGGCTGTGTTAGACTAATGGAACAATCCATATTTTAGGAGGGAAATTAAGTAGTGTCATGAATAAACTCCCTGAGAGGAAATGTGTTTGATAAAAAAAAAAAAAGAAAAAAATAGAATCTGACATTAGGTCACAAAGAACAATAATCAGATCTTTGCCACATGTTGCCTTATTTTGAATTATTTTCTTGGCTTAAGAATGGTATTGTAGTCAACATTCACAAAGTTAGGACTTATTAACATACTTTATAAATAATCAGGCATCATAATTCATTAAATACTAAATGTTTATACATATTCAATACAAATAATAATATCCAAACCATAAGCCATAAATTAAAGCTTACTTTATGTGATGCTCTTGGGAAAATTTTTTTTCTAGTGAGTAATACAACAGAATTCTATACGACAAAATATAATCCTTTTATTAACAATTTTATAAATTAAATGACTAGAAATTTAATTATTTTGAGAGAAATTAGAAATTAAAATTTAAGGATGGCATTGCCAACAGAACTTTGTATGATGATGGGAATGGCTCATTTGTGTCCATTATGACAGCCAATTGCTACACAGGTCATATATACTTGACATGTGGCCATACAACTGAGCTTAAAATTTTAGTTTAAATACTTACACAGGGCAAAAGGCTACATATTCATATAATGCAAATGAAGATTCTGAAATCTAGGCAAAATTAATATGGTTCCTTAAAGCACAAATTTTATTAAAGTACTGAAAATGACTTATTACTTACTGAAGTTACAGTTTTTTATATTATCAGAGTGGGGTGTTTCTTTGGGTAGGGTTGTAAAATGTGCATATAATCTGTCACTTCTGAGTATAGTTTCTTCAATACAGATAGTAAGACGGTCCCTTTGCAAGAAGTACAAATTGCCATAAATGTCCCTCCCCAGTTTTGTCAACTTCCAAAATCACTATGATAGATGGTATTTAAGCATAAATAAATGTCTTTTTTTTTAAAGTTTGTTTTGCATTTGACTCACTATACATACAGGTGCTGTGTAATTGTTAATTCTACACCACTTGTCTCTCTTACTCACTTCTCTGAGGATTTGGTTTTACTTGGTAAGGTGGGATTATTTATACAGTGTGTCTTAAACCATTAGTCACACTATATGAAATCAGTTTTACCCAGAACATGGACATTGTGGGGGCAGTGTTCTCCTTTAATCACTCAGATTGTCCAGAACATGATTATTCTATTTTTAAATGAAATGAATGCCAGAATACACAACAAAGCTTAGAAATACTTGCAGAGACTTAGGCTATTTTGAGACTGTGCCTACCACTCTTTGGAGTCTAAACCAATGGGTGGAGAGGCCACCACAAGTCTTCCAGGAGAGGTAGAGAGGACACCTACATACCCAAAGCAGCACGTTCTCTTCGGTTAAATAAAATACTTTTGAATGTTAGCTAGGTTACAGAAATCACCCTGTTCCTGATTTTTATATTCTCTTGTCATCAAAAGCCAATGTGTTATATCAATTTGAGATGAAAGTTCAAGCATTTCAGGAAATCCTTACCTAAAGAGCCATTCATGTGATGTGACTCCATTCCTCCTAATCCACCCATGGGACCATCAGACCCTGGGCCCATTGGAAACTATTTGAAACACAAAGATACCAATTATGAGCATATTGAAAACAATTATATAAAAGATACAAAATCTTTAGTATAATATATCTGCAATTTATTTATATATTTAAATAATGGAGATTTCCCCGTTTTATTTTTTTCCCCAGAGGCTCAGATTCTCTAACCGAATTGCCCTTCCTCCCTCTTTCTATATTCTCTCTATACTCAGGTCTTTAGGTTAATCCTCATAAACATCCAATTTTTTCTTCTTTAGATTTTTTTTAAAATAGAGAAAGCATATATATTTTCAAATATCGAGGTGGATAAACATTTGCTTCTACTCTACAGACAGACTTTATTGTTTTAGATCTGAGGTGATTCTTTGTGTGTGTGTGTGTGTGTGTGTGTGTGTGTGTGTGTGTGTGTGTATGTGTGTGTGTGTGTGTTTGGGGGACACATCCGGTGGTATTTGGGGGATGCTTTTAGTGCCTTCTTTAAGGTTCACTCTTGGTGGTACTCTGGGAAACTTGTGGTGTCAGGAATCAAATCTTGGCCTCCCACATAAGTGCTAACCCTGTAGCTATCTCCATGGCCCAGAAACTATTCTAAAATTGCTACAGATATTGGCTTGTTAGTAAGAATGACTCAATATTAACACTTTTTTTAAAACTAGACAATCTACCTCTGTTCAGATGGGCACAATGAATAATTTCATCATATGGGTTAAATACATTTAGTTCTTTAGGGAGAGCTGATTATAGCAAATTCTTTGTGGTAGTCTCAACTGTGACAGTGCAGTGATGACCAGGCATTTTACATCAGTAATATCTCTCTTCTTCTGAGAGGAGTGGGGTTACTTGATTTTCCATAAAATTTTGCACTGAATGTCTGTTACAAAAGCAGCTAAGAACAGATGTGCTGTGGTGGAAGGCCTGGCCTGCCCACTCAGTCATTCCCTTGTTTGCCTCAAATACTTTGGAAGAAACCCGCACTCCAGTTTTAAGGCAAATTATCTATAATTATTTTATGTTTACAGTCAAGGCTGCCTACTGAAAACACTTGCTCTGAAAATTCCTCATGTCTAAAGCATTAGTTTCATATTGCATAGTAAAGAATGGTGAATGCAGAGTGTGTGTATGTGTGAGTGTGTGTGTGTGTGTGTGTGTGTTGTGTAAATAATGTAATGATGGTTGCTAATCATGTGGGGGGCACTGCACTCAGCAGACTATCTGTAAAACCACCAACACTGTGGAAATAAGATGCCTCCAAGCACACATTTCTAGATATATAAACCACATGCTTATACAGTTTTCAAGGAAAAGGCCAATTCTGTTGCTTCAATGTTTGTTACCTAAAACATGTGGATTGCTTTCCAGTAAAGTATGTAGCTTTGTGTGACAGGTCAAATAAATTAATTTTTAAGTAAATTGTTTCCAGCATTGGTCTAAAGTATAGTTTAGGTCTGGTATCAGAAACCAGTGCAATTAGGCCAATGGTTTGTGAATTTACTTGGTTTGGTCCTTTTTATCAGGTCCTCACAAGCTCTCGGCATACATTTGCTTTTCTACCACTGGCTGAGATGAACGAAATTTGTTCATCTTTTTCACTTTTCTTGGATCTCTTATCTTTATATCAAATTATAAAACCAGAATGGAACATACTTGGATGGTGTCATTTTAGCTGCCCACAGAAATGTCTTTAGTACCATATGCTCTCTGTTTCCTCCCTTATTCTCTCTCTTTCAAATATCAAGTCTTAAGAAATAGAATTGTATTATGAAAAGCTTTTCTATACTTTTGCTGCATTTCTAAAATGAATATTGGTCATTATTATATCCAATGTTCTTTAGTATTTCTGTGAAATAAACATCTTGTTAGATATTACTGGTAAGAATTTTTTGTTTCCTAAAACATAATTTATTTGCTCATACAAAAAGAATAGTAATAACTTACAGTGTTGTGTAATAGAAATAATATACAAGCCACAAATATGAACTACTTAATATGAGCAAACAGACATATTTAAAATGTTAAACAGGTTAATTTTAATAATATATTTTATCTCTTCTATATATCAATACTGTCTTTTTTACATATAATTAATATAAAAGTTTTAAACATTTTATATATTTTTATACTAAGTCTTCAAACTCTGGTGTATGTTTTACACTGATAACATGTTTTAATTTTCAATGAACTGTATCTCAGTACAATACTGAACAGTTTTAAATTTTTCTCTTTATTGTTTTCACTACTCTGAGGTTCAATTAAAATAATTATTTCATCCCTCTTTTTTGGTATACTTAAACTCTTTATATGTCTTCTGATTTTTTTTCACTCTGAGGTGCTTATGTTTAGATATATAAATGCATACATTTTTATTAACAATACTTTTGTAACACATTTTTACATCATAGAAAAATATGATTTTTCCACAAAATATGATTTTCATAGAAAAATCATGACCATACACTGTATTAAGAACATCCCAATCCTTTTTTTTGATCCATTTGATTTTGAGCCACATCCTGCCTACATTGCTTGGGGACCATCAAGCACTGGGGATTGAACCTGGGTCCCTGTATGCAGAGCTCAGGCTCAACCCAAGAACACTTAAATTATTTCTTGTAGAACTGTCTCAGTTCCATTTTTCAAATTTTATATGCAATCTAAAATTCATATTTCAGATTGCAAAAATCAAAACAAAACAGGTAAATTCAACTTCCTGACTTATTTTCAAGATGGTCAGGAAACAAAGGTGACCACAATGAATAAATTATTGTAAATAAAAATAAAAACATGGTTATTGTTAATACTATCATTTTCAGATCATATTATTGATTTGAAATATGAATACATACAATTATTCTCTAAATGATTAGGTTGTTTCATATTAATTTATATTCACTGTATCACTGTCATCCTGTTGTTCATCGATATCCTCAAGCAGGCACCAGCAATGTCTCCTTTGGCCTGAAATTTTAGAAAGTGCCACATTCAAGGCTATTTCAGGGTCAGGAGAATGAGACCCATCATTGTTACTGGTTTTTGGCATATTGAATACGCCACAGAGAGTTTGCCAGACTCTGCCATGAGGGCAGGATACTTTCGGTAGCCTGCCAGGTTCTCCAGAGTAAGAACTAGATAATAAGGTGTCATGTGGCCGCATTCCACGTGCGTCCCGGAGCTGGGTTTTATAGTCTCTGGGTCTTGGCCATTGATGGGATTACACGGCACTGGGGTCAGTTGGTGGGTGTAATGCCTACATACGGAAGATGGGAGATCTGGGTGGAGGAGGCCCAGTCCCGATCCGAACAAGTTTGGAGATCTAATTTATATTGATATGAAATACTTTGTAACATGCTTTATGCTTTTTTCAACCAACACAGAATTTTAACTTTTTTTGACATCTAATAAACTCATGGATAATAAAATATAAATATTAAACTTTATCTAAGAAATGAAATATAGAGTTCAAATCTTCAATGCATTTTAAAAAAATTTAAAACACCACACTTACATTAGGCCTGTTAGGTCCAGGAGGTACTGCATTCATTAAAGTATACATGTTGTCTCCAGAATTGGTTGAATCTGAAATAAAAAAATCAGTTAATAATTTTCTCTATAATATATTCCCAAGTAATCATAAAGCAATAAATATATATAAATCAATATAAATATCAATATAAACAAACATATTAATAGTTTTAGAATTTGAAATAATCACTATTAATAACCACAAATAAATATGTCGTTTTCTGACTCAAATTACTGAAGCTGCAAACTTGTAATATTTTTACCTTATATATTAGGACTAATTACATGAATGATTAAGGTTAAAAGGGACATTACTTTAAAAGTATAAAAATAGAGTGAGGATTTACTCTTCTATAAAACATAGATTGGAATCTCAGCAGCTTTTATGTATCTATCAAATGAAACTTTTTCATTTAGTAGATTTTAAAATTTTATTATTTCCCTAAGCTTTTTACATCGGTTTTAAAAATTTAAGAGGCCACCGAGATAGTACAGTGGGCAGGGCGCTTATGTTGCATGTGGCAGACCCAGGTTCGGTCCCCCGCATCCCATATGGTTCCCTAAGCACCACCAGAGTGATTCCTGAGTGCAGAGCCAGCAGTAACTCTTGAGAATCACTCGATATGGCTCAAAACCCAAAATAAATAAATAAGAACATAAAACTATTAGTTAAAAATTAAAGTTGATAGGCTTAGATCCAACAGAAAGGAATTGCAATAGTAATATATAATTACAATAAAAATTTTTCTCTCATGAATTAAAGGCAGTTTTGATAAAAAGTTGTAATATGCTTCATTCATATATAATTCATTGCAATAAATATAACTTTAGTGAGAATACATATAAATACATGTAACTTTTGTGGGTGCTGGAGGGATTTGGGCCACACCTGGCTATACTCAGGCCTTACTCCTGGCTCTGTCCTCAGGGGTCATTCCTGGTGGAGCTTGTGGGACCACACATGGTGCTAGAATGGATTCTATTCAGGATCAGCAGTGTGCAAGGCAAGTGCCTCGTACTCTCTCTCTGGTCCCAATATATGTAACATTATTATTATCATTTTTTTTATTATGACTCAAAATTTACAAAGCTATTCAAAATAGAATCATTTCAGGCATACAATGTTGCAACACTAATCCCACTACCAGGAGTGACTCATGAGTACAGGTGTAATGCCTGAGCAACACCAGATACGGCCCCCAAACCAAAAAACAAATAACCATAAAAAGGGTATGGTAAAGACTAGGAAGATATACTGGTTTTCCAGTGTTTGGTTTTGAATCCTTAAAATGTGACAGATTTTGTAGTCTATACTGAACTTAAAAAAAATAGGGAAGGATCGAGCTGCTTTTCAGTTATTTGTTCAAAAGTCTGATTATTAAAGGGTTAAGAAATATGGAGGTGTTTGAGTTTGAATACTAAAAAAGTCCTCTGTGGTGGATTTATTAACTAGTATTTACAGACATGAAAAGTAATACTAGAATCATTACCTACATATATCTTAGTAAGTTGATGGTCCTTAAGTTTAACTGATCTATTTATTTCTTGTGTTACTTATGCAGAATATTTCTAAGCAGAAGGATTAGGATCATAGTCCCAAGTATTCTTTTATAGTCTGCTAACCTATTGGGTAATACACACATAGCACAGTTTTAATTCCAGGTTAAAGTTCTTACCGACTCAATAAAAACTGTAAATGCTTTCAGAAATTAGACAATAGTTATCTTAAGAGACTATTTTACTTACTACTTCTACTCCATTCCTGTAAGTATTCAATCAAATATTTACTTTCATAAGTAACAACTATGATATTATGTTAATAATTAGATGTCCATGAGGCTAGTTGTATCACAATACCTGCTGGACTGGGCATGATGGGTGTTCCTGGTGGCCCTCCACCTCCTGGAGGACCCTAAATAATCACATAAAATTTCAGTAAAAATATGGCATTTTATTACACAATATAAAGAAAAACAAAAAAAGATATACCTATTTTTATGTTCATACATCTGAAAATAGGAGGGAATATATTTCCTCCATTCTTTTTTGAATGCAGAATCACTTTAATGTTATGCAAAATATAATTTAGCTGTAAATATGCTGAGATTTTCATGACGTTTTAAAAAACAATAAGCCTGTAACACTGATTTATTACTTATTACAGAGTCACATCGAGTATAATGAGGCTAAGAGAAACCATTTAAAAAGCCTTTACAAATCCATAAAATAGAAATAATCATGTGTGTTTGTGATTTAGTTTACTGTTATTTGCTTATACTTTATATCGATGGTTTTTATAGAAAACTAAAAGTCAAAAAATATTCATATATTCAAAATTCACTGATGCTAGTTTTCCTTCTATCAGTATCAAATGAACACTTCCGAAGCACTGTATCTCTGGCTATCACATCAGGCAGAATCACAGATAACAGTAACTAATGCTGTGGGCTACTAAGGTTGCAGCTTCACAAGTAATTTCAAATGGAGATGAGATAATTCTGGTTAATACAGTGATTTCAGACAAGCAAAATGAAAAACTAAGACAATGGGTCTAAAGAATTTTGAGAGGTAGACAATCAGTCTAAAGAATTTTGGAGATGTAATCAAATTAACAAGTAGTTGAGTTCATCTGAGTGTCCAGAGATGTAGCCCACTATTTCAGGTATAATATATGTATCTGAAATTAATAAGCAAATTCAATTTCCTATTAAATAAAAGCCTTTAATTTCTTGAGACTATCAGGATTATTCTTAAATAACTTTAGTAAAAAATTGTTTGTCAACGCAAATTTTATTTTTGTTTCACAGGACAGGTAAAATAGTTTCTTAGCTTGCAAAAATTGAGGAAAGACTGAGCAGCACTGAGTATACAGGTTCAGAACAACGTGAATTTCCCCCACCATATTCATAAATACTATTTCTGTGGAGTACAATAGATGTATTGATTTTCTTTTTATGCATTATTGTTTTTCCTACTCAAGTTATCCATCGCCTCAAACATTTCATCAGGAAAGATAACCTGTTTTGCTATTTTATCTTTGCTTATTAGTTAAAAATTTCACTCTAAATAGGATAAGCAAACTATGTTCTATGAGGGTCTTAAGCTGCAGCAAGGATTTTAGTAATGGTTAAAAAATAATTTTAAGTTCAAGGATTCAGATAAAATCTGTTAATTTGATTGCAGGTCTGTATGACTTATTAGAAAAATTTAGTATTGACTAAATATTTTAAGAAAGATAAATGTTTTTAATTTTAAGAATGAAAGAAATGAAAAGATACTCCTTCCTTCCCCCCAACACACACAATTAGTAGTTATCATTCTATCTGTTTCGCTGTGACTGGGAGAAAGTTTAATGTCTTCTTAGACTTTGTCTGGAGAGTGAGGTGGGGAAGAATTAGATTATTCTCTTGGAGAAGGGCAAACTCAAGCATATCATTGTATAGATGGGGATGCTTTTCTTCATGATTGGACAGAGTGTATTGTACTGGTTTACAGAAACATATGCTGAAGTAAAACACAGTACCCAGGGCAATTTGGGCCAGATTGATAACTGTTTCACTAATGAACATCAACATATGCACTGAGGATGGCAGATGAAACAACTCAATACAAATCAGATGTTCACTTCTTGGCCAATACACAGGGGCTCTTCTTAACATCTGGACAACCATTTCATTATCCAAATAAAATGTAACATCAATTCTTATGAGCAAACAAACCCAAATATACTTACTACATAATTCCCAGGAGATGCTGAGGAGTATGGTATCTGGAACATGAACAGGACAAAAATACGTATTTTGATCATGTGGCAGTATGGAAAATGATCTAAAATGAATCCATTTTCTTTTAAAAAGTTTTAAATTTATCATAAAGGAGGGCAAAAGATAAAGAAACCGATATCTGAGTGCTTAGAAAAAGGAATCAATGCAATATTTTGAGACTTTGAAAAAGTGGATTTTAGTCAAGTGGAATTTAGACATACTTAAACTTTAAATTATACAGTTTTCAGATTATTTTATTCATGGTGTGATATTAACAACTCTTATTATATAATTAGAAAGTTTTATATCTATGAATCTAAAAGGAACCAGAATTTTTCAAATTGCTAGCCTTTAAAAATACAACTTCTAATTAATGCACAATCTGGGAGCATTATTTTTCTACAAAAATACATTTCAGTCTACTATATACATACAATATTATAGGGCAACTCTTGACATGTCGAGTATATCTTTTCCCCTTTTCCTTTCAATTAGCTACTAGAAAATAACATATCAAATTAAAAAATTTTGTTAAAACACATTTACACAGGGGCTATTGATTTGTGGGGATCAGATTATTGTCACTGTCACTGTCCTCCCATTGTTCATTGATTTGCTAGAGTGGGCCAGTAACATCTCCATTGTGAGTCTTGTCACTGTGTTTTACATATCAAATACATCAGGGGTCTATAGTCTACTTTCAGCATGCTGAAACCAAGCACAAAAATTTGTAAGTCTATAATTGTACCTCATGGTGTTTCACTAACAAAAAAAACCCCCTAAATATATCAGGGGTAGCTTGCCAGGCTTTGCCGCGCGGGTGAGATACTCTCAGTAGCTTGCCGGGCTCTCCAAGAGGGGTGGAGGAATTGGGAGGGATCAGATATGGGTAGCAAATACCTCTTATACCTTTAAATCAAGCTTTCTCATTGTTATTAGGTGGTAGTAATACAAAACTGTTAAAGTATTTAGGAAATAAAAACTAGAAAAAAATTTATTTTAAAACAAGTTCCTGAGTATAGATCAATAGAGAAAATTAAATTAGCAGAGAAAATTAAACTACCAAATTTCCAATCATAGAAATGGCTACAAGCTCACTTGCATGAAGGTGATACATATTCAAATGATGTATTTTTGAATGTTCTGGAAAAAAAAAACACCCAAACACCAGTCTTCCTAGAATCAGCAGTAAGAGCCAATAAAGGGCCTTTCAAAGTAGTGAAAGGATTGCAGTGCCTGCACCAAAACTGTTCCTTCTGCCTCAACAGCTTTCATATAATTGAACATAAAAATAATATGAAACCATAAAAGAAGCTAAAAAAAAGTAAAATAGGATTTTATTTGCTTTTAATAAGAAGTGACTAGAAAGTTCTCTGTTTTTCCTGAGCACAAACCCCACATCTTTGAGGCCCCTGCTTGGGCTATCTGTGGGTAGCTAAACACTTGGGTGGTCATTACCAGAAAGCCTGGCATCCCAAGGGAAGGGAATAGCTTTCACTGCACATACTGGCATTCCTCTGGTAATAAACATTCATTCTAATTAGAGAATGAATGGAACTTTGCTTTCAGGTCTCTTTCAGTACATAATATACCATCCAACAGACTATAGAATGATGCTGGCTTTTTTTCTTTATTATTTTGAACATGTGCATCTGCCTTCTTCAAATTAACAGCTTGTCTTGGCATCAATTTTCATGTTCTCTTAACTTCAGCACGTGGCTCATGTTCTACTTCGATCTGTTGGTTACAGCCATTCTTGAGATGTTCAAGAATGTTCAAGATATGGCCTATTTACCCTTTAGATCTTTGGAATTTAGACTTCACTGCCTTTATTTACTTTACAACTTCTCCCTCTTCTATTGATCAGAGTCATCATTCTCCTACAGCTCTTTATACAAACATTGAAATAACTACTTTGCTGACATTTCTTACTCCTTGTGACTCATAAAATTATTCTATATCCAAGCAGAATCTGTCCCTGTCATAACTCTTCCAGTTTTACTAAGTTTCCACTTCTTTAAGCCCCATTATTTCTTTATTTGCTTCCTACTTAAACTGGCTCTGTCTTCTCTCCATCCCAATGTTAGTATTTCAGATCTCTAATAAACTAACTCACAGGTTTTAAAGACATATTAAAATTCATGTTCTGAGGTAACTGTAAGAATTATAAAATATGAATATAAAACATGCATAAAATCGAGGCATGGGTTAGAGTGTTCTAGCAGTGCTGTTAAGGTAAGCGGGAAGAAGAGAACTTAATCTCACAGAGCGGGGCCTGGTATGAATGTCAAAGAAATAGACATTATGATAAATCCTAGACTTCCAACTTGGTAACTGGATGCATGATGGTGTTATTTAGTCATTTATGTATAAAAAATTCAGGAAGTGCATTTTGCAAGTGAGGGTAAGTATCTGACTTGCTAACTTTGTTTTGTTTTTGGTCCACAGCCAGCGGTGTTCAGGTCTCACCCCTGGCTCTGCACTCAGGGATCATTCTTGGAACTATATGTGGTGCCAGGATGGATTCTGGGTCAGCTGAATACAAGAAGAGCACCCTACCCACTGTCCTATCACTCTGGCCTGCACATGCTAAATTTGATGGCAGTACTGGTAGAGAGATCTCAGGCAGGGCCTCACACATACAAAGCAAATACTCTGATAGAGTGGGGCTTCATTCCTGGTCCTGACATGTTGAATCGGAAGGATCTCTTTTAAAGATTTTGAGGTAGAGCTGGCAACAGGCATTTAGGAAGATAGGTCTAGATTCAGAGAATTGATTTAGAGATAAAGTTTCAACGAAATAAATTTTCATTTCATCTAGAACTAGAGGCAGAGCCTGGCAAGCTCCTATGGCGTATTCAATATGCCAAAAACAGTAATAACAAGTCTCACAATGGAGATGTTACTGGTGCCCGTTCGAGCAAATTGATTTACAACGGGAGGACAGTGGACAGTGCTACAGTGCTAGAACTAGAGTAGAATTAGTGTCAATTAAAACAATATTTAAAAGAAATTTTAACTAGAATTAGGGTACATTACCAGTGGAAAATGGGTTGATGTTATAATGAGAAAAATTTCAGGAGAAAATACCTTTCAAAAGTTAAGGATGTAAAATGGATATAGTAGAAAACACAATTATAGTACAATACCCTATCCACTGTACTATCACCCGGCCCCAACAATTTGAAACATTTTGGCTAAATCACTTTCAAATGTAAAGTTTAAAATTTCCTTGTATGGGCTAGAGAGATAGTACAGTGGACAGGGTGCTTACCTTGAATGTGGCCAGGTTCAATCCCTGGCATTCCATATGGTTCTCCAGCCTTGCCAGGAGTAATCCTTGAGACATTGCTGGGATTGGCCCAATACCCCCAATACCCAATACTCATTATCCCCTTAAATAAAATTACGTTGTAGGCCCAGAGAGCTAGATCAAAGAGCTGAAGCACATGCTGTGTATATGAGAAATCCCCATTTGATCTTCGTACCAAGAGATCTCTAAACACTGTGTCAAAAGTAGCTTCTGAGCATTGACTGGAGTAGTCCCTGAGCACCACCAAGTGTGGCTGAAAAACCAACCAAGTAATATTGCTTTGGTAAACACAGACTTATTAGAACATCAAGACCTCATTTGTACCAGTGTAGATTTGAAAGTGTTACTTTTAATGGTTAATTAAAAATGATTATTTGAATATTGCAGATTTTATGGAGTATTTTTCTCTCCTTGATGGGGGAGGGGGGCTTTCAAGCAGTGCTAAGGAGGATGCAGGGTCCTTCTCAGTATATGTTGGCCAACCAGGCTTGGAATTCAATGGCATGGCGGCTCAGGACCTGCAGAGCCTCCAGAGTTTTACTGGTTGTGTTTCGAGAGGACCATACTGTGCCAGGAATCAAATCTGGGTCTGCACAGGCCACACTTGCACTTTAATCCCTCTACTCTCTCCCTCTGGCCCCAAGATATTTTTATTTTCCTTAAACTTAGTCACTATTACAGATTCTTATTTTTCTCCATTAAATGGGTTTCCACTCACTGTCAAGCTACATTGATAACAGTGCTATACTGAAATCTGTTGTTTTTGAACTATATTATTTTTACTTATCCATGTGTCTTGGGTGGTAGTGTGCAAGTGGCCCAGGTCTGGGTGATAAAGCAGACCTATGGGTGCTCCCAACTCAGAACTGGTTTGTAAACGAGCATTTTACCCAGATCATGAGCATATGACCCATTTCAGTTGTTTGGTCCCAGTACCTGTGCTTAGCTGATAAGACACACCCTTTGTGCCCAAGTGGAAGATAGGAGGCTATAAGTCTGGAGTTTCACACAGCCTTCACATTATGATAATGATGGAAAATGAAAAATGAGAAAGACACTGGGTTTTAAGCACCTGCAACCAACTGTGCCCCAAGGCAAATTTATACTGAACTTTTCAGATACACAATTAAATGATATTCACCTTCAATATTTGTCCAGTTTGGTTGATTTTCTATAGCTTGAATAAAAAGAAATGCCTCCAGAAAATGATAATTAAGATATTTTCAATGAAAAATTGTATTACTTAGTGATTAGATCTTCTTGTATCACTAAACTCAAACTCAGATTTTCCCAAGCAAAACATTTAAAAAAAATAGTTGATGAACTTATAAATAAACTTCCTCAAAAGATCTGAGACCAATATTCTAATGCCCAAAGTAAAAGAAGTTAAAGGCCAAAATCATACTTTATTCTGAATTAACACACGGATTTGCTTAGCATGTTTTTCCTGCTTCCATAAATAAGAATGCCAAAATCATTTTTGATCAAGCTCTTTTAATATGCCAAAATGTGATTATATAGAAATTAAGCAAGTACAGAAATATATTGTGGCTAATGTTAGGCAAATTTCTCACTTTTAGAGGAGTGAATTATAAACATGGAAAGCTGGAAATCTAGCATGAAATCTGTTGTTGGATTAAAACTGGTCTTAAGTAGGAAGTTTACCACGGTGATTAAGCTTGAAGCCCTACCAATAACACTTTTGTAAGTCATAATGCCTAAAATAAAATTTAAAAAATTAATTGTTGATGTGCACTCATGGTTTTACTACATCCAGCTATACATAGATAAGAGGTTTGTGTGCATTCATATATATATGTGTGTATATATATATATATATATGGGTGAGATACTCTCAGTATCCGAGATACTCTCGGAGAGCCCGGCAAGCTACCGAGAGTATTCGATATGCCAGACACAGTAACAACAAAGTCTCCAATGGAGACGTTACTGGGCCCGCTCGAGCAAATGGACGATCAACGGGAGGGCCTTTACCTTTACCTTTACCTTTTACTCTCAGTAGCTTGCAGGGCTCTCTGAGAGGGGCGGAGGAATCGAACTCGGGTCGGCCATGTTGGCTGCGTGCAAGGAAAATGCCCTACGGCTGTGCTATCGCTCCAGTCCTGCAGAGCCTGGCAAGCTCCCCGTGACGTATTCGATATGCCTGACACAGTAACAACAAAGTCTCCAATGGAGACGTTACTGGGCCCGCTCGAGCAAATCGATGAACAACGGGAGGGCCTTTACCTTTACCTTTATATATATATACACACACATACACATCTATATCTTATTTCTGATTGCGGAGGGTCTAGATGAAGCTTTTGATAAGTTCTAAATTCTACTCTTCATTATAAGGAACTAAGCCTCAAAATAGTAGTTTCTGGGTAAGGCTAGGTAAATATATGATGAACTCAAAGTGCTCTGTAGCACTGCACTGTCCTCCCATTGTTCATCTATTTGCTTGAGTGGGCCCAGTAATGTCTCCATTGTGAGACTTGTTGTTACTGTGTTTGGAATATCGAATATGTCCCAGGGAGCTTGCCAGGCTTTGCAGTGTGGATCAGATACTCTCGGTAGCTTACCAGGCTCTCTGAGAGGGGCAGAGGAATCGAACTCGGGTTGACCTGGCTGGCCGAGTGCAAGGCAAATGCCCTACAGCTGTGCTATCGATCCAGCCCAAAGTGTACCAAGAATAATAGGAATATGTCAGAAGGACAAACTATACAGCTTGAAGTGTTTCCTATAAGCAAAATCTGGAATGATTTTTACCATGAAAACATTGATTAAAATAACAATTCATGAGTATATTGGACATACATGGGCTGGAGCGATAGCATAGCTGGTAGGGCGTTTGCCTTGCATGCAGCCGACCTGAGTTGATTCCTCAGTCCCTCTCAAAGAGCCCGGCAAGCCTTGTAAGTATCCTGCCCACATGGCAGAGACTGGCAAGATCCTTGTGGCATATTCAATATGCCAAAAACAGTAACAACAAGTCTCACAATGGAGACGTTACTGGTGCCCACTTGAGCAAATTGATGAACAATGGGAGAACAGTACTGCCGTGCTACATGGATGTATGAGGGGAGAAGAAAGAAAAACTCTTAATTACAGTAGATGGTCAATTGATAAACAGAGAATAAAAGATAAAAAATTAGGAAAGTTATATGTGAACCAACGTAGCAGGAAAATAAATCTGGACAAGAATCATCATTGGATGTCAGAAATCCAAGTTTAAGTATGAGTAAAAGAAGGAGGATATTGAAAGTGGTTTTGTAGTACATCTCCACAAACATTTTACTACAAAGTGAAAAATGGTAATTCAGAGTGGAGAAAGTTGACAAGCACCACTTTAACTAGGTGATCAAAGGTAACATTACAAATAATGATGCAAATCACCATTATCAGTCTCCTGGAATGCTGCAGTGAGAAAAACACAAACTCACTTCTGTGGTACTTCTGCCAAAATGTTTCATTTACATTTCAGGATAAGGTAGTATCAGACAAAACCAAACTATGGAACACTCAACAAAACAATTGGTTATATTCGATAAAAAAAAACTTATGAAAGACAAAAGTGGAGAAATTGTTTTAGATGAAAGACAGAGAGAGAGGACTAATAAACCAGGTTTTTATCCTGTAATCTAAATGAATAAGGATTTTTTTTTAATAACATAAGGCATTGTTGAGACCATTAGTAAAATCTCCTTAAAGTCCACAAATTAGGAAATAACATTACATCAATGTTAATTTTGTTATTTTGATTCTAGAATGTGGTTATGAAAGATGATGTCATTGCTTTTAGGAAACACACACTGAAGTACTAGAGGAAAAGAATCATCATGTCTGTAACTTAAGTGAAAATAGTTTAGGAATTAATTATATATAATCATAAATGAATATATATTATATGTATAAGCAGAGAGGAAAAATTATAAATATGGTAAAATTTGAACACATAGGAATCTAGGTCTGATTCCTACAGCTTTTCTGTGATCTAAAATTACTTCCAAATAAACATTAAAAATAGATAGTACATAAAAATTTTGAAAATAAAAAAACAATAAACAGCTGTTTGAATATACTACCCAAAGGAACCAGAGATTCACTTTAGTAACATAAAAAGTTGTTTGCAATTTCAAATATGTCCAAGAAGTCTAAGAAACTTGGAATTCAAAAATAACACAAATGATTCTAATATTCCAATGTAATCAATGTCATTTAGGAGGAAATCCCTCATTAATGCTTCTTCTTTTATTTCATATAAGGAATCTTTTGTGAGGTGTTATCAGCTTTTTGTGATTTTTTTTTCTGGTTTTCACAATTATTTTCAGAAGAATTCTTTCTGTGCTCAGGATAATGATCCTGTATCTTTCTGGTATATGTTTTTGAGTGATAGAAGATATATTTACATCTGATATGTATTATGACGGGACAGTTTTCAATTTGACCAGTACTTATCTTTGTATAGTATGCTGGCCAAATGCCCATTTTAGACTGATCACTAAAGAGTAGTTAGTGGGTATCTTTTACCTTAATTTACAACATTTCTCATGTTCTAAAATTACACAGAGCTTATTATTTTCTCCTCTGTGCAATACCCGGCTCTAAGAATCTTGAATGACTGAACTACCTAAAAATTATCAGAATGCAGAACTTACTCCTTAGTTCTTCCTCTATCAAAGACTCTTCCTGGATAATATCCCGGCACAATTCAGTGCACAATCTCCTGTATCATATCCTACCCTCATTCTGAAGTGGCTTTTGAATGATGGTCTCCATATGAATGTACATGAGGGTGGGAAGCGGATAGTGTAAATTGCCCTCTTACATCACTATGGGTACAGAAGGGGTGGCTGATTAGCTGCCAGAGAGGAGAGAAGAGTCTTCTTGCTTCTAGGTGGATGATTTGCATAATTAAATTAGACTAGAGATTATGCTCTTAAATCCAGTCATCAGACATGCAGATAATAGAAATTCTTTCCAGATTCTGGCAATAGGAATATTGTTAGTTTACAGAGTTACAAGAACTGCTCTTTTTCTGCATTTTATGGGTATTATAATAGGGACTTGAAAGAAGTGTATCTTGAGCAGTTAGCCAGATGCTATTTCAAGTAAGATCTTGAATGAATTCGAAAGCACATAGCAAGAAGAAAATAGAAATGCAAATTCTTTAAAACTACATAAGCAAACAAAGAGTTTTGGAAGAATAGAGACATTCACATTACAACATAATCTGGCAAACCTGGTTTTAGAATTTTTGAGATTAATGCACTGATCATCCAAATTGAAGCCAATGTGCTCTCCTTCAAATAATTTTATTTACTTAGCAAATGAAACTGAGTCAGGTAATATTAATTCTTATTTTATAAAAATAGCATAGTTACTTAATTGAAAAGAAAGTGATTTGTACTTTAGATATAAATAGAAATACATTTAGGATGATTTTTCCCGCACACCTTCTTTGCTGTGCCCTCCCCTGCCACACCCCCCCCCACTCCATGTTCCCTTCACTTAAAATTTTCTTCAAGTTTTACATTAACCTTAACCACTGAGTCAGTTTCAAATTTATTTAGTCTTATGGCCACTCCCCGTCAACGAATGCATCTCTGTATATTAGCAAAAGGCATCCCTACTGGGCAAGAACTCTAGATTTACAAGTAAAACAAAGTATATAGCAGTACCCTACCACCTCCTTTGACCCAGGACTTTTGTACATTTGTACACTACACACACACAATACACAACAGTATATAGCAGACCTCTCATCTGTTGAAAAATCAAGGTTTGAAAGTCAACAAAGAAAACTTTTATAGTAGTCAAGCCACTGCCATGAAACATGTAAGGAAATTCCCGGAGGTCAGATACAGAGATGAATATATAAGAACGGCAGTTTAAGCCCATAAACAAAAGGCACTTGGACACTCCTTCCTGGAGCAGAGAAGGAACAAATCTAGGCTTAATTTGGACAGCAAGTATAATCATAATAACTCTGAGATTCATCCTATTTACAACTTAGTGAGTACAACATGTATTTAAAAACATTAAACTATTTAATGCTAGTTATATTTTGTGGTAAGTGTTGGCTACTCAAGAAAGCAGTATATTTAAATCAACTATCTTCATTTTTGAGACTGTTAATATACATAAAATGTACATTTATATTAGATCTTGAAATGGAAGAGTAAAAATTACACATATTTACAAATATACACAGACATTTTTGAATAATTACTTCTTTTAAAAGTTTAACATAATCAACTGCAGGGCATTCCAAAGCAAAAGAATTCTATTATTAATTTCTAGCTTAAATTAATGAAAGTTAAAATATACATATACTCACTGAATTGGCATTTGTTGGGTTTGGCCAAGGTCTACCACCACCTGGACCCCTATAAGACAATAAATGTGATAAATTAAATGTTAGCCAAAGCTTTAGATGTTCCACAATAAAAATTAAACACCAACATGTATTACAGTTTTAAGCTCTACACTGATACTGCTCTCTATACTTATTTTTGTATTTTTTTTTATCATTCCATGAATCAGTTTTCTGTCAATCTTCAACAATTTTAATAAGCCCAGATTTGTTTTATTTTGGTTTTGGGTGGAGCCACACCCAGTGAAGCTCAGATGTTACTCCTGGATCTGCGCTCCGGAAGCATATTCCTGCCTGTGCTCAGGGAACCATAAAAAATGCCAATGACTGCACCTGAGTTGGCCGGATGCAAAACAAACACCCTACCCTCTGTATTATCTCTCCAGCCTCAGCCCAGATTTATTTTAAGTTCAGTTATAATATGCACCAAAACTGGCAGTCACCAACAGCAGTAATATATACATGTATCTAAATAATTTTATTTTTGGAAAAAGGAACTAATTATAAATAAACTATAATCTGTGTGCATTTATATAAATATCACCCATACCTCATTTAGAATGAAATTACCCATAAACAATATATGAAATTATGCCTTAATTAAGCTAAACATTAGTGGATGTATATATCTAAATTTACCTCATTAAAACACATTTACATCACAAATAAACATCAATTTATCTTTCAGTAAAATTGATAATTACTATTGAATATGGAAACACATTTGTTGTTCAATACTATGGTCCAAGTGAATCTTGGTAAATGTTGTAGGTATATCCTCCAATGTACATCATATTACAATGTACATATTACTTTCTTTTAGGGTGCAAGAGAATATTCTGTCTTTCATAGCTTAAAAGGAGAGGTAAAACTTGGGATAAAATTAATGCCTAATTAGATAAAAGATATATTTTTTCCCTCTTGTTTTGAGATAAGTATACCTGAGTAAATTCTGTCTGATAAAAAGTAAATTACAGTCAGCCAATCCTTGGTAATTAGGGTCACTCAGTTTTTTTTTTCCCTCCAATCCATTAAAATACTCTGAGATGTTTGAATAAAAAAACATGACTTTATATCCTTATTCTAGGTATCTTAAGTCCTAGTTTCATAATTTTAAAGTTCTAAATGTTAAATAGTGGCTGTTCAAGTTAGAAATATTCTATATATATGATCATCTAATCTTTGATAATGGAGCAAGAAATTTGAAATGGAGCAAGGAAAGTCTCTTTAACAAATGATGCTGGCAAAACTGGACAGCCACATGAAGAAAAATGGGCTCAGACTGCTACCTAACACCATGCACAAAAGTCAGAGCAAAATGGATTAAAAACCTCAACATCAGATCGTAATCTATAATGCACATTGAAGACATGGTTGGCAAAACACTCCATGACACTGAAGCTAAAGGTATCTTCAAAGATGACACGCTACTGACCAAGAAAGTGGAAACAACAAACAAATGGGACTATTTTAAACTAAGAAGCTATTGTACCTCAAAGGAAACAGTGACCAGAATACAAAGACAATCTACAGAATGGGAAAGGATATTCCACCCAATACCCATCTGATAAGGGGTTGATATCAAGGATCTACAAGGCACTGATTGAACTCTACAAGAAGAAGACATTCAACTTCATCAGAAAATGGGGTGATGAAATGAACAGAAACTTTTTCAAAGAAGAAATCTGAATGGCCAAAAGGCACATGAAAAAATACTCTTCATCAATAATCATCAGGGAGATGCAGATCAAAACAACAATGAGATATTATCTCACACCACAGAGACTAGCCTACACCCAAAAGAACAAAAGCAAGCGATGTTGGTGTGGATGTGGGGAGAAACGGACTCTCCTTCACTGCTGATGGGAATGTCGACTGGTTCAGCCCTTTGGGAAAAAAGTATGGGCGTTTCCCAAAAAATTAGAAACTGAGCTCCCATTTGACCCAGCAATACCACTTCTGGGAATATATCCCAGAGAAGCAAAAAAGTATAGTAGAAATGACATCTGCACTTATATGTTCATTGCAGCACTGTTTACTATAGCCAGTATCTGGAAAAAAATTCACCCGAAGAACAGATGACTGGTTAAAGAAACGCTGGTACATCTACACAATGGGATACTATGCAGCTGTTAGAAAAGATGAAGTCATGAAATTTGCACTTGCTCCTTTACAAACATTGAGCACAAAGTGAAATGAGTCAGAAAGAGCGGGACAGACATAGAAAGACTGTGTTCATCTGGGGAATATAAAGTAACAAATTGGGAGACTAACACCCAAGAATAGCCAAGATAAGTAACAGGAGGTTCGCTCCATGGCTTGGAGGCCAGCTGCACATTCTGGGGGAGAAGGCAGCTCAGATAGAGAGGGGATCACCAAGTAAAGGGTGTTGGGAGGATCCTTCCAGGATGAGAGATGCATGCTGAAAGCAGACTATAGACCGAACATGATTGCCACTCAATGCCTCTTTTGCAAACCCTAGCACCCAATAGGAGAGAGAGAGAACAAAAGGGAATGCCCTGCCACAGGGGAGGAGTGGGATGGGGGGTGGTGGGGGGGTGGGAGGGATGCTGGGAGCATTGGAGGTGGGGAATGGGCACTGGTGGAGGAATGGGTATTCAATCATTGTATAACTGAAACCCAAGCACAAAAATTTGTAAGTCTACAACTGTACCTCATGGTGTTTCACTAATAAAAATAAAAAAATAAATAAAATAAAAACATTGAGCACAGAGAGAAGGTGAGGGGTATTTAAGTTGTCTCTGAAAACTGGTGCCTCTAAATCATAATGATTTTATAATTAAGTAATGGGATATTTAGAAGGATGATTTTCCACTTAGAATTCAATGTCCTAATAGAAACTACAAAATACAGGAGGTGTACTCCTGTCAAGTGTGAAACATTTATCTTATTTGTTTGATATTAAATAAAATACAGTAAACAAATTGAACAATATTTAACTTAAGACAACATAAAATTATATCCAAGTACTGGCAAAAGTTAGCACACAGTGATGTTATAGATGATATCCTCACAAATTTGAATGATATGAATTTATGTGTAAATATTAACAGTATAAATTAGTATTAAATGTTTTATTATTTTCCAATGTATTTAATTTTATTATGCTAATTTAATTGCTAAAATATTTTATTTTAACTAAATAATTATCAGTAAATTAAATTTTATTATAAATAACATACCTTTAATACATTTTGATTGTTGACAAATTCTGAGATAATCTCAGTATTTCAGGTAATACTTTGCTCATTTTGTGAATTAGTTAACCATGGATATGCACAAATTAAATTTTCTCCAACATCATAATTTTGCTTGAAAATATTTTGTGTTTCACAGATAGCACTAAGTGAGGGTACAGTAGAGATGAGCTCTGTTTGAACACCATTAGAAAAACTACTAAGCTCCCTTCTAACTCCAATACACAGATATTTTAGACTGTTAATGATATGACTTTATTTATCATAATTTTAATTTCCTTTCCTGCAATTTGTAAGTTACCAACAATTAAAAAATTGAAAACTACAAATAACATTTACAAATACTTGTCTGCCATGACATTTTTAGTAAAGATAAATTATGAAGTTCATTTTAATGAATTTAGTGAATACAATAGTGATACTAATGATTTTTATTTGTAATGTCCTTTTAAAATAAGGTTTGCTTTCACAGAGGCAGGGTGGGATAGGGGGGATGGGGGTGGGAGGGATACTGGGATCTGTGATGGTGGGAAATGGGCACTGGTGGAGGGATGGGTATTTGATCATTGTATAATCGAAACCCAAGCACAAAAATTTGTAAGTCTACAACTGTACCTCATGATGTCTCACTAATAAAAATAAAAAAAAAATAAGGTTTGCTTTGCTATGGCTGATATAATATACAAGGTTAATTTCTCAGCATCTTCCATACTTTAGAATTTTCCTTGTTAGAGTGAAATATTTATAGCTGTAATTACATAGAACATTTTGATTGTCCTTGAAAGAATTTTAATTTAAAGGGAATGTAAGATACTCCATAAATGGTCTAGTGACATAAAAAAATATCTCAGGCTGTGATGCTTCAGAACTCTTTAAGAACCACAAATGATATAAATTATAAAATACTGTGTAAGAAAAAGGTTTTGAAGTAGCTAAATATATTTCAATGAGAAACCCAAATGCAAATAGCAACAAAAATAATCACCTGAAAAATTTTGTTCCTATTTTTAGTCTCCACAGTGTAAGTAATTAAGTATAATCATATGTATATGTTTTAGTATAGGTGAGACTAAATAGACAAACTACTGAGTATCTCATTGGTTATATAAATAGCATTTTTCTCTGTATTAGCTAAAAGAGGTTGATTTAAAAGTTGTTCATAGGGCTAATAATAATTTGGATTTATATATAAAATTATAGAAACATTCATAATACTTAATGATTATTTTAGGTTGATCAGTGTATTCAAAATGCACATTCTGGATACTCTTCCATCTGAACACTAAAAACAGTTGCATTTTAACTCACTCTTTCCTTGAACACATCTTTGCTTGCTTATCTAGATGTTTCTTTGCTGGCCTATTTGCACTCTATGAAGCCTCTGTTCTCTCTCGAACATGTACCTCTCCCTCTCTCTCCCTTCACTTCTTCCTAAATAAATTTCAGTAAACCTACCTTGTTTCACAAAACAAAAAAACAAACAAAACCCCCAAAAGTTTGCATTTTAATTATGTATTTATATTTTCCTTTTACTCTCCACATTCTATTGCATTTTTTTTGTTTGTTTGCTCCTGGCTTTTGCACTCAGGAATTACTCCTGGCGGTGCTTGGGTGACCACATGGGATTCTGGGAATCGAACCCGGGTCGGCCGCATGCAAGGCAAATGCCCTACCCGCTGAACTATCACTCCAGTCCCCGCTATTGCATTTTGAAGTCAGAATCTCAGGTACATAAGAAATATATACATCCATACATATATAAGCATATATATATATATATATATATATAAACACATGCAAAGTCTATTGGTAAGAGTTTCAGCTTTTAATTTAAGCACAAGTGCCACCCATTCCTTTTCAGAGCAACCATTAACAAGGCTATGTCTTTGAGGAATTTAGGAAAAGTCTGACTTCATGTCTTTCATTTTTAAGGCAATAAAAAGAGTTTAACCTTAAAAATGAAACCCTAATAATAGGAAAATTTGACCTATTTCCCCCCATTCTGTTAGTTTTAAATTATGCTGGTACCCACCTATTAACCTATTTTCTATTTTAGGTAAAATTGCTTTCCATGAAAACCATTTTAGAAACCTAAAAAAGTAAACCCCAAACCCATGTACATCAATAGAGGTTATTTGTTAACATTACCATTAAATTACGTCAGAGCTTTTTAATTTCTTATGTGCATAACCAAAACATGGACTTCTGGGCAATAGATTAGAGGAGATGACCGACAACCAATGACTTGACATGGAACACTCATTAAATAACTAACAAGCACTGTGGTGTATAAAACAGAACTTTGAGGGCAAGTTTATGAAAAATAAAACAAAAAATTCTTAACAAATTGAATTATATTGGTTAGCAGAACTAACCTGTTCCTTCTGGGAATGAAAGGGCTTTTCAGTAAAAATGAAAATCTTTTCATTTGGGGCTTGACCAATAAATATAAACCAAAAAAACCCTCCAACAACTTTTAACTTACTTCTTATGTAAGTATGTCTTGAATTTTTTAAAAGAAAAATTTACCTGGTGTGAAGATAAGTTCTTTCACATAAAAGATAAGTTCTTTCACAGAAAGAGAATTATTCCTGGGTTTAAATAAGTCCCAATGAAGGTACATTTTTTTATGAATTAAAAACTTGACTTTCAGGAATCATTATCCATTAAAGTTAAAACAATATTCAGTTATTTCTTTTCATAGAGCTAAGTCACGTTTCTTTTAGTAGTTCTTTATACTTTTGTACATTATATACTTATTTATGAAACACTCATTTTAATGATAATTAAAAACAAAAGAGAAAAAATTAAAGGTTGCAAGGAAAGAAAGAAAACATAGTTTGTTGTGAAAATGAAGCAAACATCACAGTTCATATTTAGTGCATTTATACCAGAACTCATAATGTCATATAAATGATTTTAACATTAGAAGACAGAAAAATAGAACAGTTTACCAAATAGGATAATATAATATTTTGCTTACATGTTCATTCCAGGCATTCCAGGGCCACCTAAAGCATTCAGTGGGGGTCTCATTGCACCTCCATAGTTCTGTAATGATAACCAAGGGTCAGACTACCACAAAACAAAAAAACAAAACCAAAGAGGAGGGGGGAAAGAAAGGAGAGCAGGTTAATGATTTCCCTGGGTAACTGCTGATTGGATAAGGCCTGCGCAATTCATTCTCTGAGGGGTCCACACTTGTACTTTCATGTCTATTTTTAACAATTACTTTGGTTTGTTTCTTTTAAAAACTATGCAATTAGATAAGATGATTGGAACATGATAAATTATTACAGCATAGCTTCAATGTAATATGTAAATATCTTTATTATTTTTCTAGTATCTGACTAGCAGAGAATGTTTCCAAATAAAACATTTCATAAACCCCCAAAACTCTTTTTTTGAAAGAAAAGATTTGTTATGTGTGAAATGATCAGAGTTAGAACATTCACATAAAGTCTGAAAAATCCAAGTAGCAGAACTCAAAATAAGAAAGTTTAGATTAAACTCATGTTCAGAAGATATTATATACAATAAAAATACATATCAATAGACAATAACATAAAAATATAAAAACTAAAATATACCCAAATATATGAAAACTAAATTATACAAAATATTTATATGCAAGAGTTATGTGTATTGTATATAAAATAATTATATTCAAGAATTATGTGACTTAGTCAATATCTATTATATATATTCACAGGATAAAACATGAATGTTTTAATAAATACACAATATAAGCTTACTTCTGTTTTCATAAGGGCCAAATAACAATTTTAACATTATCTTGTTAATTTTAACACTATCAACTACTTTCATGCTTGACTTGTTGATCTCCTTTTTCCTCTAGTTTACATTTTAATTTTTTATAGATTTGAATCTTTTGGTAAATAATTCACAACAACCGATTATTGGCACATCTGTCTTAAGGTGATCTACTAAAGATCTAATTCCACTCCTAACTTCACCATGATTAAACTAGCCACTCCACACCACACGGGTTTATCTCTGAACTATCATTGCTCTTATTGTCAGTTTATTTGCTTTGCTCTGACATCACCATTCCTCTAACTTTTATGCCTCCCCAAAACCCCAATTTCCGTTTCTCAGTAGTTTTATTTTATTAACTCTTTAAATTCTGGTATTCTCAAGTTCTAGTCATTTAATTTTTTGAAGTAAGTATTCATTAATAGGTAATCTTGTTCCCCCCTCCCCTTTGGGCCATACCTAGTGATGCTCGAGTCTTACTCCTGGCTCTGTACCCAGGAACTGCTCCTGACAATGGTCTGGGACCAAATGGAATGCTGAGGATCAAACCCAAGTCATCTGTGTGCAAGGCAAGTGTGTACCCATTGTACACACCTTGGCCGTTCTCAGCCACCACAGCCCCCACTTTTAAAAAATGGTCTTGTATGTATTTATTGGTTTTTGGACCATACCTGGCAGACCTCAGGGCTTACTCCTGGTACGACTTGGGGGACCTTATGGGATGCCAGGGATTGAATCTTGGTTGTCCAATTGCAAGGCAAGTGCTCTATCTGCTGTATGATCTCTCAGGCCCCTCATAATATGTAATCTTATCTGTAGTACTGCACTGTAGCACTGGCCTCCCATTGTTCATAGATTTGCTCGAGCGGGTGCAGTAACGTCTCCGTTGTGAGACTTGTTGTTACTGTGTTTTGGCATATCAAATACGTCATGGGTAGCTTGCCAGGCTTTGCCGTGTGGGTGAGGTACTCTCAGTAGCTTGCTGCGCTCTCTGAGAGGGGCGGAGGAATTGAACCTGGGTTGGCTGGGTTGGCCGCGTGAAAGGCAAACACCCTACCTGCTGTGCTATCGCTACAGCACAATCTAATCTACTCATGGTAATTCAACAATAAGTATATATATATGTATATATATACATATATATATATATACACACACACACACACATACACACACATCACTGTATCACTGTCTTCGAATTACTTAAGTGGGCACCAGTAATGTCTCTATTTCTCCCAGCCCTGAGATTTTAGCAGCCTCTTCTTACTCATCTTTTCCCAACAATTGGAGGCTCTTTCTATAATCCCAAATTTTCTATTTTGTTTTAATTTCTCTCCTAAGCTCCTAGGTAGGCTGGAGCGGTAGTACAGCAGGTAGGGTGTTTGCCTTGCACACAGCCGACCTGGGTTTGATTCCTCCATCCCTCTCAGAGAGCCCGGCAAGCTACCGAGAGTATCCTGCCTGCATGGCAGAGCCTGGCAAGCTCCCCATGGTGTATTTGATATGCCAAAAACAGTAACAACAAGTCTCACAATAGAGATGTTACTGGTGCCTGCTTGAGCAAATTAATGAACAATGGGAGGACAGTGCTACAGTGCTAAGCTCCTAGGTAGCTCCTAGGTAACTAATATGCTGAACCTCAGATGAATTGTTTTTGTCTGAATATCATTTCATGCACAACAAATCTAAAGAGTAACTCAGCATTTTTTCCCTGCTGTCTTTTTGATATCTGCCTCCCTCAGTATTATGTCATCACCTTTCATATCACAGACCAGGCTAAGAACCTCCAGGAGCTTTTGTTTTCAATCTCCATATAAAGTTAGTTACCAAAGCCTATGGCAGAGCCTGGCAAACTACCTGTGGCATATTCGATATGCCAAAAAGAGTACCAATAATGGGTCCCATTCCCCTGACCCTGAAAGAGCCTCCAATATGGCAGCGTTGGGAAAGACAAGTAAGGAGAGGCTGCTAAAATCTCAGGGCTGGGACGAATGGAGGCATTACTGGTGCCCACTAGAGTAAATCGATGAACAATGGGATGGGATGACAGTGATACAGTGATACCAAAGTCTCCGGAATAACTTTTGCAATACTGCTCTCCTTCTTGTCACTGATTTTTGTCATACATAGAGACTACTGGACCGTCTTGATGGATTTCTCTGACGTTTCCTTTCTCCTTTCAATCTGTTCTTTGCACTGCCTAATATTACTCAGCCCTCTTTAGCCACTTAAAAGCCATGAAGACCAGCATTCTCTAATGAATAGAGCCTAAACTCCGAATGGGTGTCTGTGAATGTGAACTGAATTCTGTGACTGCTACAGAACAGTCCCAGCCTGGCCTCATATCCTAGAATTTTTACCTTCTTACAGAGGGTAGGGTGTCTGCCTTGCACGCAGCCAACATGGCCGACCCGAGTTCGATTCCTCCGCCCCTCTCGGAGAGCCCGGCAAGCTACCGAGAGTCTTCGATATGCCAGACACAGTAACAACAAAGTCTCCAAGGGAGACGTTACTGGGCCCGCTCGAGCAAATCGATGATCAACAGGAGGGCCTTTACTTTTCTTTTACTTTACTTTACCCTACTCCCAATATTACCCTCCTCCAGTCTAGATTTATTGATGTGCAGAAATATACACTACACATTTATACTCAGCTTAACTCATCTGTTGTTCTCTATGCATAGCAAACTAAGATCACAAGGAAATATTCCACGAGAGGTCTAGAAACTATAGAGTGAACACAGATTAAATGAGCAAGTTATAGTGTTTTTCTTGTTATTTATTGACATTGACTTTCCAGAAATCTTTTTTTTTAAATACCCCAAGCTTGTGTGCTCAAGGGTATTGGAATTGTTTCTATCCCATCTTGATTCACTGGTTAAAACAGAAGCAGCTTCTTATGATCTTTGGATCAAGCACGGTGGTAGCAAAAACAATTTTACCAGGAAATTCTCAAAGAAGTGGGCACAAAATTGCAATAGTACAAACTATAATATAAATATTTCTCAGGGAGTTTTCCTTCCTTTTTAGGCCTAGAAGTTCTGTGTTTTATCAAAGAAAATGTTATATTTTCCTTATTTCTCTGGATACAGAAGGACATTGGCTGGAATCTCTGTTGCCATTGTCCCATTTCCTTTATCTCTATATTTGTTTATGGTTCTCCCAACCCTCTACTAAACATTTATTTCCTATAAGCAATAATATCATCTCTCCTATACTTTTGGAGATTAAAAAAAGTCATATCATATCAGAGTGCACTGGTACTATGATACTGGAAACAATAATTTTAACTGATAAGTTTTTTATCATTGTCTTTAAGCACCATCTTAAAGGAGTCCTCTTCTCATCAGTTTCCCTTGTGTGCATCACCCTAAAAAAATTATTTGCTGGACCATGTAAGGACCTCCTGGCAAGAGTATACATAATTTTTTCCTAGAGTTTTTTTTTCTCTACAGTTTCTCTTTATGTATCTGCATCTCTTTTTATACCATGATTTCTCTAAGTTTAGAGGTAATACATGATTCATAACTGATATTATTCTTCCAATAGAAAAGTAAATTTAATCAAGAAAAGTATCTTCCTAACATAATATTTTAAATCATTTTTCAACTATTTTTTTAGAATAAGATACATTTAGCCTGTTCTTATGTGCATTGGGTGCCTTATGACTAGGAGAAAATAGTAATATATTGTGATTTCCAAATCAAGTATAAGGGGTAGAGAAATGATGGTACAGAAATACATATTAAGTTCTCAATTAAGGAAAGAGAAAATTGATTCTGTGTTCAAATCTAAGCTGAGAGGCAGTATTTAGCTCAATATAAAGAAGAACTTTCTAGAAATCAAACTACTCAATCATGTGAAAACTGTATAACTTTCCAGGCACAGTCTAAACCACCCTTTTGTCACGATTATTGCATTGGGAGGGAGATAAAGCCAGATGAAACTGTATGGCTGCTATTGGCTTTAAAACTTAGTGGTGCAATATTAGCACCACTTCCCATTCTGCCTTTCTGACTACCGCTTGGAAAGTCAGTTGATATACTCTCGTACTTTCCTGTTTTACTTCTGCTTCAAAGTTTTGCCATATGAAAATATTTTGTAAATTTACTCAGGCAGGTGGGAAATGGGCACTGGTGGAGGGATGGGTATTTGATCATTGTATAATTGAAACCCAAGCACAAAAATTTGTAAGTCTACAACTGTACCATATGCTGTCTAATAAAATTTTTAAAAAAAATTTTAAAAAATTACTCTGGCATTATTTGGAAATTTCTTACTCATTTTGTGTATGTCTGAGTGCTATGTTACTAGTTTGCAATGGTGAGACAGTTGATCTCTGCCCACCGTATATTTATTGTTTAGCAAGAGATGTGGGCTGGAGCAATAGCATAGCGGTAGGGCGTTTGCCTTGCACGCAGCCAACATGGCCAACCTGAGTTCTATCCCTTCCACCCATCTCGGAGAGCCCGGCAAGCTACCGAGAGTATCTCGCCCGCATGGCAGAGCCTGGCAAGCTACCCGTGATCTATTCGATATGCCAAACACAGTAACAACAAAGTCTCCAATAGAGACGTTACTGGGCCCGCTTGAGCAAATCGATGAACAACGGGAGGACAGTGACAGTGACAGTGACAGCAAGAGATGCAGATACATAAAGAGAAACTGTAGGGAAAAAAACTCTAGGAAAAAATTATGTATACTCCTGCCAACTCCAAATTAAGTTTTAAAATAGATTAATAGAAAAATTACACACCACAGTTTTCAATAGAATTTCATTTCTTTATTCCTAGAACTGTTAATTATGTTTTCTATGTTATAGGTGTTCACTTTACCTAAATCAACATACAAAGTCATTTTATTATAGATATTTATCTAGTAATTTAACCCCCCATAGATAACTATTGTCCCTCTTCACCACACTAAGCTTAAATCTATGATAAAAAGCGAGATGTGTTGTTCTGCTTGCACATATAGCTAGAGATAATATACAAGGTTTTCTATGTCAACTACAAAAAATACATTATACTCTTGGGTAGTATTTATATGATTAAATACTGTTATGAGAGTTGGTTTTCTATTATGGCTCAAGAAACAGAGATAATCTTTATTGAATATCTCATAATGAATGTTTTATATGCCAGGTGTTAAAATGTTTCAAAAGAACCCTCCTGTTCCAAATGAGTTTATTTAGTGGCCTGGAGAGAGAGAGTACATAAGGCAAGGCACCTGCCTCCCAGGCAGCCAAGTCCAGTTCAATTCCCAGCACTGTACATAGCCCCCTGAGTACTACTTTTTGAGATAGACTCATATTAAAACACTTTATTCCTCTCAAATTATAAAGAAATAGCAAAAAAACTAAGTGAAATGATTGATAAAAATTAAAATACTTTCTTTGGGTTTGAAATGGAAAGGAAGAAATAATGTATAAACTTAATCATTAAAACTCACCATTATGTGATTACTCACCAGTAATGTTTTCTTTATATTATAATTATTTATAACATAAAGTATATATATGTATGGATCTCTATGCTTTTTATTTATGTATTTTCAAATGACACTCCTATGGCTGTATGTTTCTATAGTTTAGGTACCTACTTTTGTCTTCCAAATACCACACAATTAACTCTGAAACCAGACTCTACTTTTTTTAGTATTAAACATATTAGTATGGGAATGACAAAAGCTTAGAAATCAGCTAAGTGAACTGAATGAAGAATAGGAACTAAATTAGAGGAATGAAGTTTAAAAATTTATATTTATAAATTTATATTTATAATATGTCTTACAAAAATATTTTCGGGGAAAATTATCAAATTCTGTAGAACTAAACTTGTTGACTAGTTCATTGAAGGATAAACGTATACTTAGAATATGCATGAAATATTCTATTAATGTTATAAATTCTGTTAAAAATGAGAAGTTGCTATTTATAGGGTAACGATATTTAGTCTCTCACAACAGGTTCAAAACAAAAGTAGAAATAGGAAAAATCATTTTAAAACCAAAATTTTATAAGATATTAAGAAAACAGGAATGAACTAATTCTAATCGAAAGGTTTTTTTATGACTTTGAGGATGTTGTAGATATTTTATTTTTAATTAAATAATTAAATAAACACTTTCAAAAAATAAATAATTAACTTATTTATTTGGGTTTTGAGCAACACCTGGTGGTGCTCAGGGATTACTCCTGGCTCTGCACTCAGGAATCACTCCTGGTGGTTCTCAGGGTACCAACTATATGGAGCGAGGGATCGAACCCAGGTCGGTTGCATGCAAGGAAAATGCTCTATCTACTGTACACTTCTTTGGCCTCTATGCATATTTTTATAGTGAGTTTTCTCCCTTATGTAATGTGGTATCTGAAAATTTTTGTTAGATATACTCTATTCTGTGATACAGTCAGTGTGTGAGTTGGTAATAAACTCCTAGCTCTAAATCATATTATTTGTGTTTGATTCTTAATTCTCTGTCTCCTTCAGCAAAATAAAAATAAAATATTAATTTAATACTTCAGAAATACACACATGAAAAGAGCTCTTAGAACCATTGACTTAACAAATCTAATTTGCTTTCTAACGTGCTAACTTATGATATATGAGCAAGAAATATACATTTCTAGATTATTTATTCATTTCTTTCAAATATGATATTTGAAAAATTTCTGTACCATGTAGTTTTTCCAACAGAGAGTCAAGGATATGTTTTTTAGCTAAAATACAGGGTTGCTTGTAACAGTATACTCAAAAAATGTCACTGACAGATAGCAGTGGTTCAATCTCAGTGTGTACTTCTGGGATTTTTGATAAAGAGGTAGGCTGACCTTGGTCTAAATTGATAGTACTGTGCTTGGTGGAATGTTCCATTTTAATGTTTGTTTCTATATGGTTTCATATTGCTTTTATATAAAGTGAAATCAATATGTTTATTATAACCATAATAACCATATGTGAAAATAAAGTCGTATGTAATAACTTGTTAATGGCATTTGAAAACATGAATAGATCTTTCATGCTGCTTATTCTACTTAATATTTTTGATAAATTAGTTAATCAAACAGTTATCTTTATAATTATGACTTTTATATTTCACTACAACAAAGGATATGGTATCTTTTTATAATACTTAGGCATTTCTATGCAGTGTTTTTCACAAATGAACTAAAACAGATATAATAATTTCTGGGAAATAGTAGACTATTGCATCACTTTGGAGAAGTCACAAAAATGTCAATTGGGGCTCAAACATTATGCCTTTAGTTCACATTTTAAAAGCCAGCAAATAAAGTATTTCAAATTATGATAAAGGTAAAAGACTCAGCGTCTAGCTTTCTTCTCGGATTATTTACCTGTGGTCCTAAGGGCACCATTCCTCTTGGAGGAGTCATTCTCTGCATTGGCCCACCCATATTTGGATGTCCTGGAGATAGGAAAAAAAAGAGGGGTATGAAGATGTTAGTAGTGCAATGAACATGAGGCCCTCATCAAGGGTTAGCAGCTACTTCTATGTTTAGTGCTACAATGTCTTATTTACAAAGGGCCTGAGTTACTGGAATCATATAATCCTGTCTTTCATGTCCATTTTTCTATCTCCAACCCATACTCTTCGTTAACACCTGGAGATTAAAATTTTCTTACTGCTCTGGGGTGAATTATATCTCATATCGCCTGTGCTTCTTTCCTTTAAAAAGCACAATAGGACTGTAAATATCTGTGACAAATATCTCTACAGAAGGGTTATTTGATCGGTTAAATTAATCAAATTACTTGTTTACCACCCTCTTTATGCCTGCTCATCCTTCAGCGGACTAATTTCACTATCTGAAAAAGGCAAAGGCAGTGTAAGTGATAAAATCACTTTGATTCCAACTTATTAAAAATTACATGAAAGGTTTTAGAAGTTATTAACATATGGATTGTTTGATATTTAAATATTTTTTGTCACTGCCCTCACTATAATAATTAAGAGTTAGCTGAATATATAAACCACTTGGATATGTCATTTGCAAAAATAGAAATTTTATTCAAATACAATTTTTCCTTGAAAAATATTTTTAATTTCCTTTGAGAGTCTGCATATCAATTTCATGTTGCTTTAAAGTAGTCACCTTGTTGTCGGGTTGGGTCCATTCCACTGGGAAGTAATGGCTGACTTCCTGGGACACCTCCAAGTGCCTAGCATATTTAGTCAAACAAAATGCAATATTGTAAATACTTAGAAAATAAGTACCTTCACAATTCTCTTAAAAATTCTTATGACTAAAGAATTTCTTGGAGTACTTCACAACATTTCTCTTATTTCACTATTTTTTATATTACATCTATTTTTAAATTTTATAGGTTGATCTATTCCAAGCAAAAGTTCTTAATTCTTAAGAGTTCCACTTTGCCCAGCTTTGTGGCAAACAATGTACCTATTTTGGGGAAAAAAACTAATCATAAGTTGTTCTATTTTTTCTCCTCAAGAAATAGAATTATTTGTCCCAAAATTAATTTACTAAGGGTAATGAAGTAACTAGGCTTCTTAAATGTAAGCTTTAAAAACAATCTATAGATAATTTTACTTATTTGGAATTATAGTAGAACTATAATACCAAGAGGTCAATGAAAATGTTTTAGTAGCTACATTTTCTTAAGAAACTAAGTTTAAACAACGTGGCTGCAATGAAAAAGACAACTGGAACAGTAATAGAAATTAATAGACAAATTTATTTTAGGTAGAAGTGCTGCACTGGATAAACATTAAAATTCAAGGTTTTAATAGGGTGAACAGAAGATATTCATCAACAGAACATATAGGATCATGCTACAAATGATTTTAGATTCTATGAAGTGTGTACACACATATATACAGAAATTCCTAAGAATTTCTACCAATTTAACAACAACAACAACAAAACAAAGTAAAAAAACCCTACTAAAATATCAAAACATTTTTAAACCCTGATATTAAAGGATTTATATATCCAAATCACAACTGTTTTCTTAATTATATCACTTGGGATACTGTGGAAACTTGCTATTTCTTAGGACACGTACAAGTTTTCTTTTTATTTTCCCTTTCAATACATAGTAACTGAATTCCAGCTATATAATCTGTTCCCTGCCTATCTTTCCAACCTAATTTCCTGGAATTAGTATTTTAATGTCCTGAGTGTAATACAAGAAATCTCACAGGGCTAAGTACAAAATAATAAAATAAACTCTCTCTCTTTTCAAGGTGCTGTCAAGGCCTTTAATTGTTTATTGCTGACATATTTTACAACTAAATTTAGGAGTTTGTCCAAAACTCCAGTTTGGACAAACTGGCAGGCTACCGAATGTAACCTGCCCACACGGCAGAGTCTGGCAAACTCCCCGTGGCGTACCCAATATGCCAAATACCAGTAACAATGATGGGTCTCATTCTCCTAAAGAGCCTTGAATATGGCACTTTCTTAAAAATCTCAGGGCTAGGATGAAGGAGACGTTACTGGGGCCTGCTCGAGGCAATTGACGAATAACAGGATGGTGGTTCTGTTCCTTCGTTCCTTAAATTTAGGAGACGTTTCCTAACAAAATTCTTTCATATAGCCCCTGTCTGAGATAAGTTATCCTATCTGGTTTCCCTTCCCTCCCCTTACTTTGACTCCCCTTCCCTCCCTTCCTCTTCCCTTCCCATTTGACATAAGATGTTAAACAATTGCCAACGATTTTTAACACCTCATGCCTTATCTGCCTTTTTACTCTTTCTGCTTCAGTCTGTTTTTCTCTGTTCTTCTCTCTCTTTTCTCTCTCTATACATCTATCTATCTATGAAAATCCTCCCTCTGTGTATGTGTGTGTGTTTGTGTGTGTATCCTTTGAGAGGAAGTCGAAGACATTTGTCTCAATGCTCCTAAGTACCACAGACTATAGTTATCTAAACTAAGATACCCTACATATTCACAAAGCAACTTTTCAACATGGAATTCAACATTGATACAATACTATTAACATGACAAAAAATTCTTTCAAATTTTGCCATTTGTCTCAACAATGTTTTCTTTTTTCCTTCTTGGACCAGAATTTCTTGGAATATATGTTACATCTAGTGGTCATGTCTTCAAATTATTCCAAGGACTAATTTTTCAGTTGTTCCCTATCATGTCTTCAATAATTTTAGAAAGAAAGTTTTAAATTATATAGAACAATCTTCTGATGTCTACTTATAACCCAGATATATATTCTATCTCCTCAGAAGAAATGCCAAAGACATAATGGCATACTCCATACATCATCTAGAGGGTACATAATGTTGACTGGTGATGTATATCATTACACAATTTTCTAATTTTGTTGGTTTATTTAGAAATCATTATTTTCTGATTGTATTGGTTTCTGCCACCAAGACTAGTATCTTCTCTTCTGTTATAGATTACTCTTAGTACTGAGCTCATCTGAGATTGGCCCTTTCCCAGGTATTCCATTTCTCATCAATACCTGATTAACCCATCAGCATCCACTGACAACCCTTAATCATTGTAATAGTTGCCAAATGGAATATTCTGTGGCTATCACTCTTTCCTAAGCTTGTTTTTTGATATTTCATAGAAGGAATAATTTTCTTTTGTTTTCAAGTTGACTAATTTTTCATTACTCACGTACAGACTTTCGGATTCTTATTTATTCAGTGATTTTTATTCATAATCAAGATTTGGCTAGTGGGTAGTTTTTAAAGTTGATTCTTCTTTGGCATGTCTCTATTATATTTTCAGCATTTTCTTACTGATTCCAGGTTCATTTCATACTTTATTTTTTCTGGCCTACCTCTGGAATCTGTTCTTTATCCAAAGAGCCGTGGCTCCTCCTAATGGAAGTCAGGATTAAGGCATTAATTTAATTAAATTTCAGTGTAAAAAAAATCTCAGTGTATCCACCAAAGTTGTCTGCATTGCTTTCAGACATTTTCAGTAGATGCTGAGCTAAATAATTTGTGTTTGTGTATATTTACCTACAAATAAATTTATGGATAACTGTGTGTATGGGTTATGGTAATACAATACCATATTCATACTTTTCAACACCGAGTCTGTATCTCCAATTCCAATCTAAAACCTCTGGATTATTTTTAGCTTTCTTCCTTTCTATGGATGTATTTTGTCCTACGACAAGAAGCCTGACTTTCATTATCTTCAATATCTTTTACTTATTTTCTCAGTAAATGTATTATTTGCTCAGTATATCCAATATCCCAACCACAATAGCTATTTCTTCTTTCTGCTACCTCTGTGTGATTCTTCCCTGCCTTTCTGAACATCTTATCATGCAGGGAAGGTAAGGGCTTTTATGGGATTTTATACCTCACTTTCGCAGAACTTAAATATTACAGTGGCTTGTTTTCTTTTCTGTACCTACATAGTTGGTAAGCTCTAAGAGAGTGTGGACCCCATCTGTGCCTGCTGACTCGGAGTAATAAACATTTATTGAACAAATAAATGGAATACGGTTAAAATGGACACATTCAGGAATTATCAGAATTGTAGTCATAAACCTGGAATAGAGTTCAAAGAGTGACAAGAGTGGAACTATCAAATATATATTTATTTAAAGTACCAAAAAGAAATATGAAAGGAAACTAGAACTGGAAAGGTGTGAAATTAAGAATGGACCACAACCAACAATTTCAGGATACATGAGGAGTTTCGAGGAAGAAGTGATCAACACCTGTCAATTGTTACCAAGATAATTAGGAGGAAGACTGAAAAGGCAGAATTAATCTTCAATTACATGGTGAAGTTCTTCTATTTGAAGTGCCCAAGTAGTAGTTAAGGATTTTGTGGTTTTGTAATTGTAGTGCTAGGTTACTCCCAAAGCCTCCTCATGCATGCAATGTAAGTGCTAACTGATGAGCTACATCCCCAATCTCAATCAGTCTTTGTTTTGTGCTCAGGAATCACTCCTGGTGAGGATCTAGGGACCATAAGGGGTGCTGAGAATTGAATCAGGCTTGCTTGCATGCAAGGCAAGTACCATACTCACTGAAAAATCTCTCTATTCTTGCTAGTTAGACATTTTTGCTATTTTGGGGGCCACATTAGGAGGGTCTCAGAGTTCACTCTTGGCTCTGCACTCAGGGATCACTCTTGGTGGGCTTGGGGGGCGCACGGGGTGATGGGGATCAAACCTGGTCTCCTGTGTACAAGGCAAGTACCCTATCTGCTGTACTATCGCTGTGGTCTCTGGTTAGACTTTAAAATTCTGGGTTTTGATTCTGAATTTTTAAATTTCACTGGAGTCGTGTTTTATATTGAAAACAATTTTCTTTAATTTTTTTACTTTTTATTCTTTTCTGGGCAACATCTGGTTGTGTGCAGGGCTTACTACTGACTGTACTCTGGGATCACTCTGGCAATGCTCAGTGGACCACTTGTGGTGGCGGGGATCCAAATTCAGAGTAAAGCAAGTGCCTTATTTGTTGTACTATGTTTCTGAACGAGTTTTACTTCTTCTTACTGATCTTAGAATATCAGAGCAAATCAGCAAGTCTTTCTGTTTCTATTCACCCCTTTGTATCGCATAAACTTGCAGAAATCTTGATCAGTATCATGATGTCTTTCAAAATGTCATTATCTAAGTATGACTTCTTAGTCATTAGTATTTTATCTTTTAAAATAACTCAAATCACTAACTTGTAAGGTATTTTGATAAATTATGGAATGATGAGATTATTATTTTGGATATCACAAAATTACTGTATTTTAAACCTTTAATACAGAAAAATTATGTTATGTGGTTGATATTAAATATTCCATTCAGACTAGTTTGATCACAAATTTTGGCATATACTCTGTACTCTAAAATGTCGTCATGTTGACAAAAAAAAACTAATAATGGAAGTACTTAAAAACAATATGTAAGCAGTAATATACTTTCCATTCATTAGTAGTTTGTTTATTTAGTAGATAGTAAGTTAATCCACATAAAACTGTCTTTTATGTTGGTTAAGATAAATATGCCAATTATATATTGTTAAACCCATTATTCATTAAGGACTTCTAGGTGATGGCGATAAGGTAAACAGCCTCTTTATACAAGGACCAGTAATTCTCAGACCTTTTAGTCTAGGAGGAAAGACATCCACTGGAATAGCCAAGATTCTCTCTCTGCCTCTGTCTCTCTCACCCCCACACACATACACTCACAAATAGTAATGT